CTCCCTTTCGGCCTTGCCTCCGCCTGTTGGGCATTCACCAAGCTAACACGCGAGATCATGCGGACTTGGAGACGGAAGGGCTGGCGGTGCTCAGGATACATTGATGATCAGATCCACGCCCACCAGGACGCTCAGACCCTCATCGCCCGCCGCACCATAATCCTCGACCTCCTTGAGCGCCTGGGGTTCTGCGTGAACCGTGACAAGTCAATGATGGGCGAGCCCCAGCAGCAAGTGAGGTACCTGGGTATGCTGTTAGATACAGCTAAGGGCGTGTACATTGTGCCTGAAGATAAGCGCACTTTCCTGCTCGACTGCATCCGCTCGGCTCTGGGAAAACGGCGCATCAAGGCGAGACAATTGGCCTCCATAAAAGGGCAGCTTCTGTCCATGTCCTGGGCGTTCGGGCAAGTAGCCCGCCTTTACACCCGGGCTCTGGGGCAGGATATTGAGTCGCGCCACACCTGGGATACCCACATCCGCTTATCTAACGACGCAACTGCAGAGCTCGAATTCTGGCTGCGCTGTTTCGACCGGTTTAACGGAACCCGTGCCCTCTGGGAGCCCACACAGGTGCACTCGGTCGTTTTCTGCGATGCAGCCGGGAAATCCCCCAAGCACCTCGGGGGTTGGGGTGCCTGGACACTGATCGACGGGAAGTTGGCCCAAGCCCGCGGTAATTGGGGAGTAAGGGTCAGTTCGATGGGGTCAACGCCCCAGGAGCTCCAGGCAGTCCTACACGCACTTCAATCCTTCAACGGTCCTGCAGGCCTACGACACCAAGTCGTCCGGGTGATTACTGACAATCTCAATTGCGCCAACGTCCTCAACAAGGGGTCCGCAAAAGCCGAGGACTCGTACCGGATTGCCTGCGAAATCTTTTGGTACTGTATTGCCGAGGGTATCACACTGCAGGCGGAGTGGCGGCCGCGAGAAGAAAACACTCTGGCGGACTACCTCTCAAAGCTGCAGGACCGGGACGACTGGATGGTGAACCGTAAGGAATTTCAGAGGCTCAACACCGCCTGGGGCCCCTTTGACATTGATCTTTTCGCGTCACACACCAATCACCAGCTGCCACAATACTATTCCCGCTTTTTCACGCCAGATACCGCGGGTGTAGATGCCTTTCGGTTTCACTGGGGGCGGAATTGCTGGGCGAACCCGCCTTTCTGTTTGCTACTTAAGGTCCTGCGGCACGCAGAGCTGTGCAAAGCACGCATCTGTCTGATCGTTCCCCTCTGGCCGACGCGCGACTGGTGGTCCTATCTGACTCAAGACGGGAAGTGGTTTGCGCCTTGCGTCCACGGCCTAAGAGAGCTGGGCAAGGCGTATGATCTTTTCCTGCCAGGGTCTTCGGGAAACGAGATCCCAAAAGGGTCCGCTAACTGGCTATCGCTCGCACTTCTCATCGATTTCCAAACACCTTCCCCGCGCCGGATCGCTGTGCCCCCCGACCCTTATGCCCCCCGGCTTTCACAGGAATAAGAGCACGCGCGCAGACACTGCTTGGCCAGGTGCCCTTGGACGCTAACCCCATGATCGGCAATCTAGCTCTGGCGTTGGCAAGCCAGGCGCACAAGGCGCGAGCTAGCAGCACAGTCGCCCAGTACAAGGAGCCATGGCAGGAGTTCCTAGATTGGGCAGAGCTACTACACATTCGGGCGAGCGACATTTACGACATCAGGCCAGAGATAGTGGCCATGTACCTGATGCACATCTACCAAACCGCGCAAGCGGATGAAGTAGGTCCGGGTCGCGTCGCGGGAGCGAGCGCTGCTATTGCCTGCCATTTCTTTCTCGCGGGCCGCCCCTCACCTACGGAGCACCCAGCATGCAACCTCGTTCGGGACCTGGGCAGGCGCACACTGCAAGGGAAGAAGCTGCACAGGGAAAGCATGCAACCAGAGCATGTCCGCATGTTGGCCGCTCACTTCGCTGGGCCGGATGCCTCACTGCCAGACCTGATGATGGTAGCGGCCATATCGGTTATGTTCGCGGGTTTCCTAAGGTTCAACGACCTAGCCCACATCTCCGTCAAGTCTGATCTGCTCACCCTGCACGACACTCACATGGCCATCACACTGCCTAGGTCCAAAACGGACCAGGAGGGCAAAGGGCAGACCATCCGGATCGCGCGCGTGGGGGGCGTGGCCTGCCCAGTGGGCTTGACAGAGAGGCTGCTGGCGCTTGGTAACTATGTCCGTGTCCCCAGTTCCCCCGTGGAGGACGTGGGTCCGCTGCTGCGCAGGGTTAAGGCGACACAGCTAGGCCACCAGCTGCAGCAGAGGACCGGCTCTGTTCAGTCACCGATCCCCAGCCTCAGCTATACCTCCTTCCGGGAGAAGCTCGCTGCCATGTGCAGCGCCGTGGGCATCAAGCGCGGCATCATGCCACACTCCATGCGCATCGGGGGAAACAGCGCGGCAGCAGCCAGAGGGGTATCTGAAGAAGCCCGCAAGGCCCACGGTCGCTGGAAGACGGACGCAATGGTACAGGTATATACCCGGGTGGCAGACGATGCCGCACTTGGAAACCAAGCGCAACCTGGGCCTCGCCTGAGTCAGAGGGCCCCCTCCTGCTATCTTTTCTGTCTGCAGTAGTGTAAGGCCCTTGGCAGCCCCCGGTTTCGCCTCGGCCCTGTCTTTTTCCGGCACCCCGAATGCAACCGTACAGCAAGCCATGAAGGCTATAGGACATAATTGTAGCTTAGATGCGGCAGGAGCAAAGCGAGTATAGCCTCTAAGCTAGGTTATGTACGGCAGCCGTATGGCTTGCTGAGAATTCGAATTTACTATTTCAGCTGACAGCTCCATAGTTCCGGCATTCTGCCTACACTATTGGAGCTTATTATTATTGTTGCTCTCACTCCCCCCCCCCCGCCCTCAGTGTCCCTCGTTTAAAAGCGGCAGGCTCGGCCCAGTTGGAGACCGGTGATTAGGCAGTCCCCTCGGAGCGCCGGACGCGCAGCTGTACAGCGATTACCGCACGGCAAATAAGTGCCTATAGAGTATCGTCGCGCGCTAGGAATGTCGCCTGGCCAGCCCTGCTGGCCAGGGTGTGGTTCGTGCGTCGCTGACGCTTCAGGTTTGCCCTCGGGGCGGGTGACCAGTGGACGCAGTTATTAATGCTGCGTTTAGTTGTCTAGTGCTGTGCGTCAGTTCTTTCGGCCGTGCCGGTGTGGCCGCGCTGGACAGCGCTGCGTGCGCTCAGACCGCGCCGTGTGGCGCTAGACCGCGCTTCGGCGCACACGCGCCCTGGCGCTCCGAGAGCAGCAATTAGTACTCTGCAGTAGTGTAAGGCCCTTGGCAGCCCCGGTTTCGCCTCGCCCTGTCCTATCCGGCACCCCGAATGCAACCGTACAGCAAGCCATGAAGGCTATAGGACATAACCTGAGTTTTGCAAAGTTAAACCGAAGTTTTCTGCAATATACGTCACGCAATATACGCTGCTTGGTTCTGGGGGTGAGCTGCTTTTTTGAGTCGCGAAGCGTCTATGTTTGTTACTTTTTCAGAGAGCATCGTAGCGGTACTTAACATGCCGACTTTGGACTTTCAAGGTCTATTCGTGAGGCCGGTTTTAACTTCTGTTCTTCGTCGGTGCGTCCAAGTTCCTTCTCCATCCCCTGCTTTGTTTATTACCGCCCCGGTAGGGCGGCAGTGATGTGCTCAGCGTGTTACGGAGTCTTTGCAGAAAACTAATTTTGACACCTTCACACCTAGCTACATACATTCATCCTAACGCTTCACTTTTTTCTTATCGCTTATCGCTTATCGATTTGACTAAGCTGCTGTCGGTGATATTGTTCCTCACCTTGCACGCCACAACCCAAATAGCCAACGAAACCGATTTCAACCCAGCAAGAGATTTGAACAACATGTAAAACACGGAAACCTACACTGCTACCGTTCGTCATGTACCTCTTCTTGGGGTCGGCTTGCCAGCATCGCTCCGCCAGATTCCGGTAGTCGGGTGGCGTGTGAGGCGAGAACACGGGACGCACGCCCCGAAGCGCCACCTGCATGTACGACAGACACACACACACACACACACACACACACACACGTGCATGACGCTCGTCACCATTACATGCCGTCCTGTCGCTGCCCAGTCTTGCATTGAAAGCGCACATGGCAGATGTGCACGAGGTCGCACGTGCCAGTACGGACCCGGGATCAGCGAGGTGTGTGTATGCATGTATGTATGTGTGTCGCCGCACTGGTAGCTATTCTGTTATAATTGCGAAGTGCCCTGATGCAGCACGTAAGCAAACGCCGTGGGTCGAGCTGTAGCAGCAGCTGTAGCAGCGGCCATGTGAAGGGCGCTCCCCGGCACCTCAGTTCCACGACGCACTGCCCCCAGGCCTACGAGTACGTGGCGATGTGATGTGATGTGTGTGCTTCGAGCGTGGGGAAAATCATGCTGCTGCTACTGATTCTGCTACTGCTAGCGCTACGGCTATTGCTGCTGCTTCCTGCCCAGGGTTTTACCACTTCCACCAATCCCCCCGGCCCTCAGATGCACGCTGACTCACACTCGCAAAGTACCGCTCCCCCGCAGCCCCACCGTGTAAAACCGCCACCCCTCCAAAACACGCACACGCACACGCACACACACACACACACACCCCGAGCCCCAACCTGGTGCGGTAGCAGCGCCCTGGACATCCCGCGGTAGCCCTCTCCCCCGTAAATAACTCGTACAGCATGATGCCGAATGCGTACGTGTCCTGGTGACGGGAGATATGGCCGTACAGCATCAGCTCCGGAGACATGTGCGTCAGCGTGCCCTGCGTACATACGTACACACATACATGCATGTATGAAAGGTTGGTAAAGGGGTTGGCCCTTTCTGCGCCAGCGCACACACCGGGAGAGAGGCCCCCCCCTAAAACACACAGGACCTCAGGGCCCCACCCCGGTGTACGGACCTGTGCCGTGACGGCGGACACGTGCGTCTCCAAACGGTCATCCACGTGGGTCGATAGGCCGAAGTCAGACACCTGTACGGACGTAGTACGGAGGTAGTACGGAGGTAGTATGGAGGTAGTACGGAGGTAGTACAGACAGTTGCAATCAAGGCCGCTTAACTGTTCATTCTCTCGTGGTTAGGTAGGTTAGCTCCATTAGGGGGAGGTGGTCGCAGAGGAGGTGTTTCAAATACACAGACACTTGGAATAGTCTCATGGTATTGGAATTGTACGCAAGTGCCTTTACGCAAGTACCGTAAATTGGAGATGCCGTACCTTGGCTACGACGCCCGTGTCCAGCAGTTGCTCGAAGCTGCTCGGCGCCGCCACCACACTGGGCGCTGGGACACCAGTCGCGGGACTGGATGTCGTACCGCCGCCGCCGCCGCTGCCGCCGCCAGCTCCGACAGGCGCGTCTCGAAACCACATGGTGGTGCCTTGAAAGGAGTTCTCGGCGCCCAAAGGCTGCTGTACGAGCAGGTTGCTGCAGCCGCCGCCGCCGCCGGCGTTAGCGCCCTGCAACGCCGCTGCCGTGCCTTGGCCGCCGCCGGCAGGTCCCGTTGACGTCGCCGCCGCCACCGCTGCGTCGGTACCGGAACGGCCGGCCGCTGCGGCGCCGGACTTCAGCAGTACATTGGATGCCTTGACGTCGCCGTGTACGATACCGTTGGCGTGCAGGTACAGCATCGCCGATGCCACGTCACAGGCCACCGTGAGCATCAGTCCGTACCTGTAAGCCGGCCGCTGGGGCTGCGGCCGCTGCTGTGGTGTCGCCGCCGGGGCCGCCGCCGCCGCCTGTAGCGTATGTTGGCGGGGCGCCGGCGGGCTACCGGACTCGTAAACAACCGCTGACGACGGCGTCGGCAGCAGCGTGAGGCGCCCGCCGCCGCTGCCGGCGTCGCCGCTGCTCCTGCCGCTGCCCCTCCCATTCAGGTTGCCGTACGGCCACTCACCCGGTTCTATTGTGCCCTGGAGGGCCGACGGCGGGGGACCATGGCCGTACGCGGCGGTGCTGATGGAGGAGTCCGTCGTACCGCAGGACGGCCTGCCGCCGCCGCCGCCACCGCCCTCTCTACCATCGTCGCCGCCGCCGCCCCCTCCTAGGTACGCACCCGCCGCCAGGTTCCTGTGAAAAGCGCCTCTGTCCAGAGCCTGACGCAGCGTACCCAGGTCGCAATACTCCTGTGTGGGTAGGGACGGGGCGGCGATCTGATCAGAAGATCTAAACTTCTCAAGATTCCGAATCCGGTGCAGAATCTGGATCCTGTATTTCAAGTTCAGAAGCAGGATCAGAATCCAATTTGAGGATGTCATGGGATTTTTGTTACTGCCATCAAAAGTTCAAGGAGCGTCCAAATGTTAAATGTCCAAAGATTTTAGATCCTGATTCGGAACTATGTACGGCAATCCGTGTACATCCGATGAAAAAAGGTATCTCTCGGGGCCCCACTTTCTTCGACATTTTCTTATCAAGGACAGAGATGGAGCAAAGTGCATAAATAATAAATAAATTTCTTTAATGCCAATAATCGCACGACTATGAGCATAAGAAACCCTCACGCACCAATACGAGCTGCAGCTCGTAACCATGCGCCTCGCACTCTTCGGCAGTCCGCCGCGAACGCGTCGTCGTCGGTACGGTGGAGACGGTGACGGACCGTTTGCCGCCGCCGCCGCCGTCGTTGCCATTGCCGTTGCCGGCGGCGCCGCCGCCGCCGGTGCTGGCGTTCTGTTGGTCGTTGGCGCTCGTGGCGCTACTGCTCGTTCCTAACGTGGAATCCATTATCGCGCGGAAGCTGTAGCTGTACGTCTGTGCCGTACATCAGTCATCGTCACAGCGGAGGAGACAGCGAAGGCGGCGAAAGCAGCGGTGGTGGTTGGTTGAACGGCAGACAGAACGGGCAACGGTGTTGGCGGAATTAACAAACGCGTCTTAGAAAGTCGCATAAAGTAAAAAACCACAGTAGCAGCCAAAGAAGCGATCACAATCGTGCCAATTAAATCCAGGGAAATTGCTGTTAAATAGTTAAGTTTACGTAGGCTGCGTGTTTTGACGTTTCAGCGCTAACATGCACCTTGTGGTACATGTTGGAAACACCGCTTTACAAGAAACACTATGTAGAATAATATAATGCTAACAATATAACATATATGTAAGTAATTTATATAATATGTATAATGAGATATAAAATATGTACATAGTTGTAATAATAGTATTTAAAATGTAGTAAAATAATATATAAAATATGATATTCCTCCCAAGAATGCGTCCTAAAACACACACACACTGTGTTTTGTCTTACATTTTTCACTTTTCATCTTCCCCGACGGGGTTACGTCAAGTGATGGCAGACAGACAAACAGATTTTCCCGGCCCCTGCCAGAGCTACACCCGCCGCCCTCTAAACCCGAGCTCCCCCCTCTCCCCCCTTCACACACCTGCACGAGGTTGGGGTGGCTCAGCGCGGAGCTGACGGCCGCCTCCATGACGGCGATGTGCTGCAGCCGCTCGTCCCGCGTGAGGCAGGCTGGCAAGATCAGCACCTTGAGCGCCACCACGTGACCCTGCCAGATGCCTGCTTAGGATACACACCAATCCACACATACATGCGTATATATGATCTAACGGAAAACTTCTCCTCCGGATAACGATTTTTAAAAATCACGATTGCGTACCATCGCGCTGCCATCGTCGTACGATATTATCGCTGTGTACGTGCGCCCTTGGCGGATACCGAGCTTAGGCAGGTGGCTAGCTAGCACCACTGTGGTGGTTAGAGGTTAGAGGTTAAGAGGTTGCGGATCTAATCATGCTGTCGTCGTTAAGTCAATCAGTCTCCTCAGTGAGCGCCATCCCCCGTCGCGGACTCCTATTCGTGGCTGCTGATAGTTCAGATGTCAGAAGTGCAGGACTGAGGGCATATCGTAGCGCGGGGAGATCTCAGTGCTGGTTCTCAAGCAAACCACTATGGCCGAGACAACAATTGTATTTATGGCAGTGTCTTGCCTTTGTCCTTCATTCAACCCCCTTAATCTATGTAAAGTGTACCGACGAGACTGCTCTGTATCTGCTGCCTAGCTTTACAATGGCTCTGGCTCTGGCTCTGTGTTTGCAGGTCGAGAGCGAACACAGGCACTGGTGTGAAAGCCAGGCAAGGGCCTGGGGTTGTTCATTCTGCGTCGTGAATATTTATCGCCTTTTTCCTCAAAACTCAACAAACAGCAGCCGGGAGTTTTACATCGCCGTAAACACACATACTTACCGTACATGTCGTACACGCAAAGCCCTGTGCCTTCGGAGCAAGCCGAGCCAGCCCCAAATCCCAAATCCCCGTAGCCCCATTTCACGACCTAGAGAGACACACACACACACACGCTCACACACACTCACACACACTCACACACACTCACACACACTCACACACACTCACACACCTCTTTCCTCCCCCACCCCCAAACACGGCGCGCACCTTTATACACGCGTGCGAAAGAACCATGACCAATCAGCCCCAGAACCTGTACGGATACCGCCTGTCGACTGGCCGCTAGCTGACGCCGTACCGCCTCCACCCTCTCCGGCTCTGTCACACGTAGGGCGCACATAACAGTACGACAGTACGGGGAAGCGTGCAACCGGAGATGATAGTGTGCAAGACGCACGCGACCATATGATACTGGCAGTACCAAACGCCGTACAAGTTAATGGGACGACAACGGACATCGGCCGACGGACAAGGCCGCGGCCTGTTAAGGCCGGGAAGCCCGCCTGGCGAATTGCGTCCTGTAAATGACCTCACGGGACGGCGAAGCTAGGGGGGGCGACTGCCGACATCAGGACAGGCACCGGGCAGGCGACGGGCCGGGCGCACGCAGAGATCGAGCACCTGCCATGCCGCGCCGCGCCATGCCCTACCTGCTCCCTACCTCACCTTGCAAAAACGCTTCCACGGGCTCCAAGACCCGTTGTACGAGCACCTGCCGCACGGGCTTTACGCGTTCTGAAGATACCAGCTGATAATTCGCGTCGGAAGGGTCCGTGCTGCAGCAGCCGCCACCGCCGCCGCCGCTGCCGCCGCGCCCAATGCCGATTGAAGCCGCCGCCGTCGACGCCGCCGCTGCGCCAACTGTCGAGACGGATTGATCCCTCCTAAGAGTGGCCGGGGAGCTGCACGCGGTGTCGACATCATGGATATTTAGCAGATGGGATTTCAAACGACGGCAGGGATGTTTGAAAAGGGGAGAGGACTTATTACATGATGATGATGCAAAATTCAAAAACTAACAACTGTCAACCGACACGTCCAAGGCACCAACTGCCGTAGAAGCCCCATGCGAAAGGGGTTAGCGGGTGGGGTGTGGGTGGTAAAGAGGCCAGGGCCCCCTAGGGACCTGGACACATGGCAGGGTGCGACACGCCGTTCCTTGGGGCTCCGCGTGAAGCGAGAGGAGTGGAAAACCCTCGGGCTGGGCGGCAAGTGAGGACAGTGCCGTGCGCGCCCCCTACACGCGTACCGGTGCGGCACTGGTGCTGCTGCGCAGGAAAGGGTCCGAGCTTAGGGAGTTGATGTTTCATCACCGTGTTCGGAGGAGGAGGAGGAGGGGGAGGAGGAGGAGAGGGAGGGGGGGAGGAGGGGGAGGAGGGCGGCGCCGTGGGGACGTATCTCACCCTGGCATCACCCAGCAGGCCGGCGACTGTCGATGGCCCTCACCAAGTGCCGTACTGCCGACGCCACCGCTGTCGCCGTCACCGCCACCTCGAAGCCAACCCTGCATGTATTCAGCCGCGATCTCGCCCCCATTGATATCCCCGCCGCCGCCGCCGCCGTCATCGTCATCGTCATCGCCGCCGCCGTCATCACCGCCGCCGCGGAAATGAAGAGGTCTGTCCGCGGCGGCGGCCGCGGCGGCCTGGCGGCGGCAGAGCCGCTGCCGACGGCGCCAGACCGCAACCGTCAGTGCGACGGCCGCCATCAGTGCGGCTTCGGAGCCCGAAAACGGGTTCCGTTTCCGTACAATGCAGTCAGCCCAAAGCATTTGGGGGGAAGATCGGAAAGTGCAGCATGAGAGGCGGCAGGCAGCGAGCGCTGCCAAACACCGTACTGACCTCAGTACTAAGTAGCAGCTGAGTGCGACCGAGAGCCCAGCTCAGACCATCCCAACTCAAACGCAAGGGAAGCCGTTCGCGCGCGCGGCGTCGGCAAAAACAGCGGTAATGCCAAAATAGGCAACCCGTGCCATTGTCGAAACAGGCAACCACCAGGTGACGGGTTGCTTTCCGAAAAAAGGCAACATCCCCCAGCACAGCTCTTACGAGCAGAACCAGATCAGCCGAGGGGGAAGGGAAGTCGGGGGCGCTAGGGACGCGCGTATGTGCGGACACTGTGCGGAGGTCCCCATAACAACAAGACAGCCTCCCAAGCCGCAACAATAACGAACCTCTCCCTACCACCGTAAGAACCGCGGCCGCCGGGTACCCCCACGGGGTTAAGCTTACCTCCCAACCCTACGCCCAGCCCCAAGCCCAACGCCAGCCTTGGCTGCGGCTCTCCGCCGCCGCCAGCCCGCTGGCCCTCACTCGCCGCCACTGCCGTGCTCCCTGGCGGCACCGGCGTAACCGCTGCCGCTAAAATCGCCGGTCCGCCCCCGCCATCGCCACCGCCGCCATCGCCACCGCCGCTGTCGCCGTCGCCACCGTCGTCAGCGTGTTGCGCGAGTGTGTCCATGACACACCGTTCCGCGCCGCGCTGCGCCACGCAGTCCGGGCCCACCGTCCAATCACAGGCCATGTACGAATTGACGTACCTGCACGGGGTCGCAAACCCAGGATTGTCAACAGCTAATCTAATCAGAGGTCGGAGGCACTACAGAGGACGTGGCGGTATTTGAATCATTACCTACAAAAACAGAACAATTCACATGAGAATGATAATTTGAATTCCATGAGGCGGTGTACGGCCGAATCGGAGGCATGTTAAGTATTGGCCCCACCGGCCGCCACGGCAGGTCACACGCAACCCAGCACGCAGCGTCTCAACCCCCCACCCACTTTGAGTCCCACCCGCCATCAGCCCCCAGCACCTGATTGTGTAACCCCCGTTGTTAGCCAGGGCAGAGTCCAAAACCTGCGTTAAGTACGACACGTCCTGCAGTACAAGGTACGGCGATGTGCACCTCGTACCCGGCGGCATCGTTGGCGGGGATCGCACGCTGGTCTCCACGTTCGGCAAGGCGCCGCCGGTGCCGGCAGCGGTGAGCCAGCAAAGCGGCGGCGACGACGCCATATTCACGGTCTGCTGTACATCGCCACTACCACCCCCACCCCCACCACCACTACCATTACCACTACCGCTACTGACAGCACCGCCGCCACCGCTTCCTCCTCCTTCGATTCGCGGTAGGCTGCGGAAGTTCTGGAGCGCCATGGGGAGCACTAAACACGATACGCGGTGCTGGACGCACGCCTCCAGGGTTACGAGGGCGCCGCGGCTGACGGCCATGAAGTCCAAATGCGCTGAGATGCGCGTTAACGCCCGCCACACCTCCAGCCCTTGCAGCCGCAGCGCCACACCCGCCGCCAGCTGGATTTTGGCAGCTAGGTAGGAAAAGTCCATGCGCGTGAGGTTTAGCGGCTGCGGGGGTGCTGCGGGGACGGGAGCCGGGGCTGGCGGGGTGGTGCCTGGCGGTGGGGGCTGTGGCGGCGGTGGTGGTGGTTGATGAGGTGACGGGGAGGCAGTCGGGGAGGCATTGTGTCGTCCATCGGAGAGCGGGAAGGAGAAGGGAAAGGAGGGGGAGGAGGAAAAAGAGGAGGCGAAGTTGGCGCCTGCGATGGTGACGTTTCGCTGGATGAGAATTGGCTGCGCCGGCGCGTCAGCGGCAAGGAGAGAAACGTCTTGGTCGAGAATGATGGTCGCCACGTTGGACTGGTGCAGTAGCTGGAATAATTCGCGAGAGCTTCTGGCATGCGCCTGCAGGCCGGGACGCGCGCCGGGAACTGCCGCCGCAGCTGGCTGCTGTGCCGAAGCGCCAATTCCTAGCACTAATAGCTGCGTCAGCACCACTACCATCGCCACGAAACGAAACGAAACACTGCGATGCATTTATCGCGCATGATTCCCGACGATTCGGGCTGCGCTGATCAACATTCCGGTTCAAAAGAACACCACGTGGATCCCCCTTGTACTGCCGAAGAGGAAAGCAACCAGAAACATGGAGAGCGCGACCAGAATCCAGAAGGAAAATTTTCTAACAGTGCGTAACCGATTGGAAGATGCGAAATCTCATTCGTGACCGATGATGGTAATTGGACAGTCTGTCCAACAATTTTGTTGATATTACGGACTCGTCAATGCGACTCATCCTTGGGACCGTGAGCTAGCAAAAGTGTCCAGATGGACCGTGCAAAAATTATGGACCGTGCAAAAATTACAACTTTTGTCCTCAATATGGACGGACCCCGATTTAAGTCCACGCTACCTCGGAGCAGATCGACCCATGGTCCGATCCATTTCATTCTATGGTTGCAAGCTACTAATTTTATGTTCCGCTACAGCATGATGCCTGTGATCTCGCTCCGTGATGCCGAAAAGGCGATTGATACAGTAGTCTAGCCTAGTTGTTGGAAACGGACCAACGTACCAATCCTCATATGGCCTCAAGACCTGGTCCTAACAATGCGCAGCCCAAAGAAGCGCTTTCGGCAGCCCCTACCTAAGGAACCATCCCTATACTAAAGCGGTAGCTTAGGATCCACGCACCTAAAACCCAAGGGCAACCAGGTCAGAACATATAGGTCTTTTCATTCTCGACACGTGCAATCTTGTTCATCCGTTTTGGAGTTGATTAACCTCCCATGGACTTGAATGGATGTCTGTACGCGTGATGGGTGGCAGCGATGCACCTAAAACCCGGGAAACCCGGCGCAGGGGAACCAGGGGAACGAGGTCAGGAAAGCCCGAAATGGATTTAACATGTAGGTATTTTCATCCTGGACACGTGCAATCATGTTTCATCCGTTTCGGAGTTGATTAGCCCTAGGCTGAGGGTTGCGACATGGGTACGCACCCGGAAGAAATCACACCATTGCGCATCGGGAAAAATTATCCTCCTGCCTGGATATTCTCACGCTACCTCAATACACGCCTGAACAATCATCATAGGACTTACATTCCTGCTGATAACGCCACTGCACGCAGCTAAATTGCATCCTGTAGCTTCACAAGTTCCATATTCCCTAACGATTCCCACATCATCGTGCGCTCATCGCAGGTTGCAGCACAGTTGGTGAGTACATAGATAAATCATTGATATAAGAATCACCAAGTAAAAGGTTTCTAATGCAATGAGAAAGTGCTGGTAGTGAATGTTAACTGGCATTATCGCTCGTGTAGATCAATGGTGGGATAGGCCATTTATTTCGTAGACATGCTGGGCGCCCATCAGGTAGGACATGGTTGCTGCGCAATCCTGGCATGCGGACCGCGTGTTGCAGCACACTTTATTCGGTGCGGGGTTCAAAGACAGCACGTGCGCCCCTTACTATGCGGGGCTTTAGCACGGCATGTACGGCCCTCTACATACCCCACTTAATATACAACTTGTCTCTCATCCGCTCCCACAGACATCGCCAAGGATTGAGGTTCATTCCAGCCGCACGTTGTCCACGCATAGGTTCTCTGCCGAGTTACGATAGTTCCGAATTTCAATATAGTTCAGATCTTGCACCGTGTTCCCCCCACAGCCTTTGAAGTATCTGTAACGCAAAAGCCAAAGGAGCATGCAATTCAGGCCAATCAATTCCGCAACTTTAGGTTGCTGGTGTAATCAGGCTGCAGCAATATTTGCCTTACTTGGCATTGTTAATTATCGACGTAGGACCGAATCCAGCGAAGGCTGAAAAGTAGACCTCCCACTTCCACCTGTTCGGACAATAGAAGAAAACCAGGGTGAGACTGCTAACTGCTGCGCTACTAAGCACACGCAAAAGCGGCCTTTGCTTACCAGTAATCAACACATTGCGTGCAGCGGGGCTTAAAACCTGCAGATGTGCATATACGCAGATGAGATGTCGGAGGTGAGATAGCGGAGGTTTATGAGAAAGAAGCCGCAAGCCTCTTTCAATCCAAATCACACCGGCATAGCCAGTCTTTTGATGGCTCACCCGTCGCCTTTACTTCGCTTAGGTCCACAACAGCGCAATCACCCTGGTTTCCACCTATTGCCAGGACGACGCCCTTGTCAATCGCGTTCTGTGTGCTCATGTAGATGTAGAGCCCCACTGCCACATGATCTGCAAAATTGCCTTGTACGCTGGACTTGAACACTATGGCACCCTACGTAAAGCAGGCATCGACATTCGACAGCTTATTCGTTAAAAGCCATTGTTACAGTGCCGAGCCGGTTCGGCGCGGCACGCTGAGCTTCCGCGCCAGGCAAGGCCACGCAACAAAGTAACATGACCCACCTTCGGCTGCGTGGACGCGCACTTCGCACTTCCAGATATCATTCCAGTCATGTAAGAGCCAGGCTGGACGTTATAACTTGCATCATACCAGTTGTTTCCGTTGCCACCGTTGAAAACTGTTAACGCTGTGCGGCTGTCAAACTCAGGCCAGTCTCGAACAACATTGCTGTTACCTGGGGTAAAAGTTTTCAAACTGTGAGGACACAATATGGCTTGCTGTGGACCCCATATCCGTTGGTAATCCCATGTCCTCACCCCCCGAAGGCGGCTGTTCCCCTGGTGTAGGATTCTGCGCAGCGGGTGCCTGCTTTGCTGGCTGATAGCTGCAGGGAACTTGGCGGTATTGAACGCCGATGACGCCCCATTTCGTGTCGGCCAGCTGCAAAATAGGTGGGATGTGTCCAACGTGTAAGGGCCTAGATGCGAACTCATATGCAAGACGTGTGAAGCTTACCCGCTCAAAGCCCCAAATGCTGAGGTCAAAATGGGCCATGTCTCCGCAGCACCTGCAAAATGCATTGCCCACCAAATGACCACACCTCCAAAGGCCCACCTCCCAAAACCAGCAAAGCAGCTATAAAACATAGCGGTTACAACCCACCATCGCTTGTTGGAAAATGCGTTTTCCGGGTAGACGCACGGGCAAGTATCAGTAATCCGAAACACCAGCGACGCATCTGGGTCGTAGCAGGCTCCAGTGCGGTCAAGAAACTACAGCAAGTTTTACAGCGTTAGCCAAACGTGCATTGTTCTGGTGCACTTCCAAAGCGTATAGTTCATGCAAAGAACAGTGATGGGCCATAGCTCCTTACCTGCCCGTAACCATCAGTAAATGATGAGGGGTTGCACTTGACCTCGAAGCAGATGCCTGCCGGATAGCTTGAAGAGTAACTTACGGTGGAAACAGTCAAAAGTCATCCAAGCGTAGCTTACCACAAGAGTCCGGGTAGTAAGGAGAAATGTCGGGCAGCGCCGCAACGTTCCAACCGAGTGGCTCATCTTGCCTGCAGCAAGGAGGGCTCCGGAACGTGACATTTTCCTTCGCGCAGTATCCTTGCTGCCCAAGCCAGCGCCCATATGGAATCGTCCACCCACCTGATGTACCCGTAGCCACAGGAGCCCTTGTGTATCGACCAAGCGTCTGCAGGAGAGCATGTTAAATTTCTAACCTGACCTAACCTCAGACAAGGAAAACAATTATTCCCTTAGCGACATACCGTTCCCATACATGGTCCCCTGTATGACCAAGTTCAACAGTTGCAGTTGTTAGCGTCCAGCCAACATGTGATCAGCGAGGGATTGCGACCGCGAGAGAGTTACACATACCCTGCCAGCTTGCCATGGTCCTTGGCTAGCAACGTTGACTACCAAGAAGGCGAGGACGAACGAGATGAAAGGAGACTGCAGCCGGAAACGATTCAGCAACGACATGCTTCCGAGTACAGCGAGCATAGAACCCTGGGTGTTTACAGTATGCTTTCCTTGGTTTCAGCTATAAGGCGTGTGACCGAAAGGCCTGCACCACTGGACGATACCGCAGGTATCTCAACTGATTCGATAGGGCTGTGAGCACGGACTCCGATGAGCCTAATCTGCAAAGCCTATGATCAATAAATAAACCTATCACGAGGTGCTTTGATTATTACTCTACTCAGCAGGAAAAGGTGGCTGTGGAGATTTATAGCAATCATGCCTGGTCATGCTGCGCATTTCGCTGTCGTACAGGATTTTAAAAAATTCGCTCGGATCCTCGCTTCGTACGTTGCCATGTTACAACATCTCAACATCGCCTTCGTTGAGAACCTGTCCGTAATTGGATCTTTATTATGGCCAACGCCAGGCCGCACAAAGCTGCGAAGCCGCTCCATACGCGAGCGACTTCCTGCCATGAGCCTGAAGTTGCAGGCGTCCTCATAATCACTCTTAGGATATGCGGTCGTCTCAACCACTGATCTGGCCACAGAGCTGCAGAGTCAATAAACCAGGGGGCATTTTCTTCGAGATACGCCGACATGTAGCGACCCATATTGGTGTCACCGTGATACATGGTGTCCTGCGATGCATAAGCATGTCAGATGTGTGAACACCATTCACATGATGATGGTAAAATATGGTCGGTCTGTCACTAAGCGTTGTAACAGACAAATACTTGTGGAACGCTCAGCAGGAACCACCTTACCTGCGGGCCCCGGTCAGAGGCAATCTGGACATTTGCAACCGACCCAAAAAAGTCAGTCAGTTTCACATCGCAAGGTCGACGTGTCGCATTTGTCATCCGGTACGAGAAATGCGACTGCATGAAGTCGAAACTGCGGGGTTGCCACAAGACAGATAAGCGGAAGCAACGGAGCAAACCTAATTTGTTTAATCTGGGAGATAGTGAGTAAAGAGTACGCTTGCTTCTATCTACAGGTTTCCGGGCACGACAGTTCACAAAGGAAGCCGCACAAACCCCCGGTGCCTTGCGCCTATACTTGCTCCGGTGGAGCTGTTCCACAAGTTCAGCACGCTAAAGTTGACGACACGCTCGCCGTACCCGTATGCCATTGCACACGTGCAGCACCGCACACGCGACACACCTGTACGTCTGCAACAGGTCGGCCAACGTCGCAGTGCTGTTATATTCGATGTTTTCAAAGAAAGCCAACGTCTGGTACGTGAACCGGTCAATAAGAGACAGGCCCAGCTCCGGATCCGACTTAAATGACAGCGACTGTTGCCCTGTGGTGGAACCAGAAAAGTTTAGGTGCTGACCAGGCGTGCAGGGGGCAGGTTAAGGGCGTTACAAGTTACAAGTTCCGCACAAGTGCGGGGCCCGGCCGTAAAAGCCGGGGGGCCCCATGAACAATCAACTGTCATAATTGTGGCGCTGAGTGAGGACGCTTTGAATCGGAAGCCTATTTCCCCCCTCGTATCTCATCTTCGAAGGTCCCCATGAGCTGGTGGGAATTCACGGACGACATGCAGCAGCTCGTCACCAACCGTTCCGCAGTCACAAAGCCTGCAGATACACGTCGCGGCACGCTCGCGAACATTAGTCCTGCTCACTTCTCAATCCCTATAATGTAATTCGGTCACCAAACCTCCCACTACGCGGCGTAAATGTTGCTATACAAACAGGCACACGGGTGGTGCACCTACTGGCTCGAACACCCGGCTATAGGGTGGAACCCGATGCTCGCAAGGCTGCCGCTGCACCTTTCTGACTGGAAGCGACGGTAATGACGTTGGGCGCGCTAATCCTCTGCACCAGCGTCGCTGCCTCGCAGGTCTCCACAATCATCAGCAGCTCCCGATACCTGCGTCATGAGCAAGGGCACCAAACCGCGCGCCAATGAAGGCTCCAAAAAGGCGACCCCAGCCCGGCCTGACTATCGGCCCCAAAGACGTCCACAGGGCGCAGGATGGGGCGAAATGGAGTGGCTCGCAGCAAGTTGCGTTCCGTGAAGTCCTCTACTTTTCGCTTAGCACATTTGCTCGGCCCGGCGTCTGTGCGTGATCGTCACGCCTGCGTTAAGCTCGAACAGTTGCAGCTAGCAAGGTGAAGCCAGAGCCAGAGGCCAGACTAAGCTGCTTAACCCGGACCCGGACCGACCCAGATCCCGCAAATGCTAAACCTCACCATATGCAATAACAATTTATTATTTATTTTGCTTTCATTGCCCCTTGCGCGGCGTTGCGCACCTCTCCGCCGCATACTTTCAGAAGTGTGGAACACACGGGAACCCTTCCACGCTATGACTTGGACTGCCGTTTCTAACCAAAAACTTGAAAACTTTCACGTCGAAGCGGTTCACGGATGTACAAAAGGACCTCCTGATGAGGGGTGCGGACGTGACGACGAGTGGACGGCCCAGCCCGGCGTTCTTTTACCTGCCCTTCTCCGCCATCTGCGCCAGCGCGTCCGCCAGGTCCTGGGCCAGGAGCTCCTCCACATCATTGAACTTGATGAACTCGTCGCCCCCGTGGCCCGAGAGGTACACCAGCACGTTGGAAGATGCGTCCGAAAGCAGGCGCTTGGAACGAGGAACATTGCTGTGGTGGCGCCCTGCAGCCATCATATCGCACGAGTCACCGCCCCAACAAACCGCCTATCGTTAAAGAGCGCACCAAAACGCGCGTACCCGTTTGCAAAAGCTGGATTATTAAATGTATGGAAACCAGGGATGTTTGAGGAAGTGGCGGCATATGGACGAGCTAAGGTAATCTTCCCCTCCGCTTTCAAGGGCGGATGACCCCAACCCCGACCCACACACGTCACCCCACTTAGAACCAGAAAAGCGCAGTGACGCGGACGAAAGCTCAGGCAGCCACCGCACGCAAACCCCTGTGCTCCCCTTCCCAGTTTCCCCCATTCCCCTACTAGTGAGCCCTACCTGTCATCACCTGCAGGAAGTTGGACACGGTCACCTCGTAGCCCCGGTAATCCACCTCCACATCCTGGCCGTACACGTCCAGCAGGTGGCTTTCATTGTTGAACAGCTGCGCCGGCAGCGGATTGCGGGCGTTACAAGCCATGTCATCTGCGGGAGGGAGGAGGGGTTGCAAACCAAGGGAGGGATATGCGGTTGTAGCGCCCGAGTAGCGGCCCCAGCGGCGGCCGCAGCGTCAATGAGGGATTTTTCAAGGCGGCATCTGAGAGCACACCGGGGAGGTCCACCGTGGTGCAATTACGACAGGAATGTTGATGCAAGGCCCTGTCCTGGTTAATGCGTTCGCTAGTGAAATGGAAACGGCTGCTTTCCAGGAGCCAGTCTAATCCAGCTTATCCGCGGCTCCGGACCAGCATGTTCGGCGTATCCTTGTCATTATCTAACCTAGCTGAAGTGCTTGACTGCTGGTGTGTGGCGGACCCTGTGCATGCGGCATTCTGGAAGCCCTGCAAGTGATGTATGCGTCCAGGAAAAGATAAGACGGTGGAAAGCCGACACGAAGGCCATTGATTTGCATAGCTGCGCTGCAAGCGAGTGTCGGTATTCTGCCAACAACAGCGCCGAACGCGAGGGGTGCAGTAGCGGGTGTCGAGTGAGGGTTTGGCCAGTCATAGGGGGCGCTCCATTGTCGTAACCAAGACCCGGCTGTAGCGGGAGTGCTGTCGATTGGATACCTGCCTGGACAGCAGAGCGCGCCTATCATCTTCGGAAAGTGTCAGTTAGGTAACGAACGCACCTGGAATCATCAGAATGATATTGCTATCTGGTATACCAAGACGTTTAACGACATGGTATATTGACATGGTGTTGACAATGTGACGGTAGTTGAGCCAGAAGCGGGACGTCGACACCAGCACTGCCCAGTTGTTTTCGTGTCGGGACGTCGATACTTTAGTAGTGCGTGACCCATTGATGCCCCCAATGCTGGCATCAACCGGCATGATACAAATGTTGGCAAGGAGAAGTAATCCGGCCAGTGGCCAGCAATAGCTCGCAGTTTGACCCCTTGGTGGCATCGTTTGAAGCCTCTACATCGCATAACAATGTCTGTCGGGTTAACGGCTACATCCCGTTTACAAGATCCACTCTCGAGTGCAAGTTTACAGGAGCGCTCGTGTAGATCACAGGAACAAGTACCTAGGTCCCGAGCGTTGATTTATATTCATTATGAGATAAATATAGTTGGTACAATACCTTTGCCGGGTTAAACCCGCAGAAGTTCGGCGGTCATCCTGCCGTACTCAATGGTTACAACACAACAAAGGACTAGCGCACGTCAGTTTGTCGGTTCGATTTCCTGGTGAGGCATCGTGGATGATATTTTCACGGGTTATCTTCTTGACATGATCGAATGAGGATGCTTCATCAGAGGCTGGTTCATCCAGCGTCAAAACAAGTTCCTACCGCTGTTGAGAGACAACATCGCTGTCTCCTTTTTGCATTTCGTTGGCGCCGTGCTCGACCATGCCCGAGGCCATGCGGCGCGCTGCGGACAGCTGCCACAGCGTCTCCATTGAATCGCACTCGGCCTTCCCAACAGGCAAGCTCTTTACCAGCATTTGGATAGGATAATGAACCACAAAAGCGAAGTCGCATAACGGAAGTCCCCTTAACATGGAGCATCGCGTACGTTCACATGGTAGCCCTTCAACAACGAAGCACGGGTTTGTCTCCCACTGTACAGGATTCACAGACATTCAGGGATAAAAATCTTGATGCGTCACTGAAGTTAACCGTTGCTGGTGATGTTGGCAGCGCCCGCATAACCCCAGACGCCCAATCGGCGGCTCGTAGGTGAGTGACATAGTGGGCATGGTGGCGTGGTGAGGCGTAGTGGCCGATGGCTATATTGCCTTTCACTCGCCTAAGCAGGGGTCAAAAGCTGCTGGCTGGGGGGCCCAACCCCAGCATGCGGGGTCCCTTTCGTAGCAAGGGCCTTCGTGTATGGGCCGGGAATGCCGAGGCAACAAGCACAGGACCCTAAGGGTCCCCGTCCCCGCCAGTTTTTCCAGATGGTCGTGCGTATTCCCCCAAGATGGCTTGCTGCCGTCCCCGCTCCTGCCTCTTCCAGCCTTTTCGCAGCGCTCAACCGTCGTGATGTGTCCTCCGTGCTGAGCCTTCTGGCGGATGACATCACGTACGAGAACCTTGGCTCGTCCACAGTACTGCGTGGACGAGCAGCCGTGGGCCGCTTCTACCTGGAGGCCCTGGCGGCGCTCCCCGAAGATGCATCCTTCGTGTTGGAAGGTCCTGACGGCGGGGGAACAGACCCGTGGGTCGGTCACGAGGGTGGGGCCGCCAGCGGCCCCGCCCTGCAGGCAGGCGTGGCATGGTGGGTACTGAAATGGCGGAGCTGTGTTGATGTGCGCGCGTGTGTGTGTATGCGCCTGGGTTACCTGAATCCGCGGGAGACGTCGTCGTTGCGTTGCGTGGCCTGTGGGGTACCTGTATGTGTGTCTGTATGACTTCAGGGTGAGCACGGACCTGCCCTGCCCGTAAGGATAACCTATAACAGCCGGGAACACATTGAAGCTCCGTATCACGGAAATGCGTACGGACTTGCAGCACGTATGTGCGTGCATGCATACATACATACATACATACATACATACATACATACATACATACATACATACATACATACATACATACATACATACATACATACATACAGGCACGTGGAGCTGAACGGCTTGGTGGTGCCCCTGTCCCGAGGCGTGAGTGTTTACTGGGTCGAGCCAAGGACCGGTCGACTGGCCCGCATCCTGGACAGCCCCGAGCACCCCGTCAAGCAGTCCGCCCCCTCGCTGACCAGCGCCCCCTGGGGCTCACCCCTCTTAGCGGGTCTAGGGCCTCTGGCCATACCGGCGGCCACGAGCGTCACCAGGTAGGGTTGGGCCCTATGGCACTCCACGTTGCGCGGCGTTGGTGCAGGTGCTGGGCTGTAGGTGTAGGTATAGGCTGTCCTGATTAGGCTACTACTCGGGGCATCCTGATTAGGCACGATGCAGTTGCTGCCGTGTCGTTCAGGATGCTATGGGTCAATGGGAGGACATAAAAATACGAATGCGTAAAAGGACTTGAGTTAACTCGCCGGCATCGTTCCTGGAATCCTGGCGTGGGAGAGGGATGTCGGAGCGGGGGAAAGACGAACCACGAGCGAGTTAAGCTGCTGCTGCTGCTGCTGATGATGATGATGATGATGATGATGATGATGATGATATGATGATGAAGATGAAGACGATCGTAGTGGGGGATGTGGGAAAACCGTGTTCGAAGCGAGCGGACATGACGTGACCTGTTCGTCCATCCGTCGCCCCACCTAGCTTCTGGAACAACGTAATTCCCGGCGGGGGCGGCGGTGGAGGAAGCACTGGAGGCGGAGGGCCCAATGCTGCTGGCAGCGGCTTGGCGGGGACGTTTCTGACGGCGCTCGGTAGCGTGCTGCCTATCCAAGCGTCCTCCTTCGGGCAGCCAACGGCGGGAGTCAGTCGCAGCAATGGCCGCACCGGTGGCGGCAGCGACAGCAAGAGCGGCGGAGCGGTCGCAGCTGCTGGCGGCGGCGGCGGTGATGGCCGCGGGGTTGTGCTGTTCCGGGACCACACGGGTAGTGCCGGGAACGGCATTGGCGGCGGCGGTGGTGGCGGCGGAGGCCGTCGGGCCAGGTCCGCTGCCGCCGTCGCCACCGCAGCAGCAGCAGCAGCTTCTGCGGCCGTCGGCGCGAGCGTGCGTGCACCGGGTGCTCAGCTTGGCGCTGCCGGCTTGCGGGCAACCAGCGTTGGTGACAGCAATGTAGCTGTCGCAGCGCCGCCAGCATCTGTCCCCGCTGCCAATCCCGCCAGTAGCAGCACCGCCGCTGCTGCCGTGGCGAGAAAAAGCATTTCCGCGCAGTCTACGACATTGACACCGAACGACAGGTCGCAGGAGCCCATTCGAATGCGGCTGCTGCCCGACCCGAAGCCCCCGCCACGGCGGTCGTTGTCAAGCGCCTCCGTCTCCGTGGCATCTTCCCTGGCGGCATCCCTCAGCGACGGCGACGAGGACGACGACGGCGACGCCAGCGCCGGCCTAATCAGCGCCACCGCCAGCGGCTCACGGCGCACGACACCAAGTTCCGCAACAAAGCCGGCGGCCGTGTCGGTGGCATCTACCACCGCTCGTTCAATCTCCGTACGGAGCGCCAACGGCAGTAGTGGTACCACCGCCGGTGGCGGCGGCAGCAGTGGTGGCGGCAGCGGCGGCAGTAGCAGCAGCGTGTTTGCGAGCGTGGACAGCGGCAGCGACAGCGACACCGGCGACACCGGCGGCGGCGGCGGCGGCAGCGGTCCCACTCCGCCGCCCTTCCCCCGCAGCACCTCCCAGATGGCCAACCTGACGGGGCTCTGGGAGAAGGATGTTTCAGCAAGTCAGGTTGAGGTGGGAGAGGAATTGGAGAAAGTGGGGGTCGGTCAACATGTCGGGGGGAGGGCGAGGTCGGCGGGTCCGGGAGGTAGGGAAATTGGGGGTAGGAAATTTAGTAGATGTAGTAACTACCACCGGAAATGGCAACTGCCCTGACATCCAAAGTTGCCAAGAGGTGCTCGAGATCAAAACAGGGGGCGCTGGGGCTGGGAGGGCGGGTGAATGTCTGGAGGCTATATCGTCTTGAGATCGTCTGAGGTGTCTAGGTCGTGGGGTACATTTACATACATACGCACATACACACGCACACGAAAGCAGCTTGGCGTTGTGTGCTTTTGGCCTACTACATGTGCTCGACCACATGTCGAACATCATCGATATGTTTGTAGGGCAGGCGCCGGGGCCCCCATGCGCAGGTTCCGGAGTTGTTCATCATAGTATGCAAGGTGGCCTGCGTGACGCCCTCCCACCTCCCCGCGTGACATATTGGCCGTACAGCCAGGAGCTCCGGAATCAAGCCTGTGGTGGTATGGAGCAGCAGCAATGCTCCACATCCAAACACGCCCGCCACGTTCTCGGCACACAGGCTGTACTTGCACACAAACGACACATTGCATGATTTCTATGTGCATCAATCCTCCGCTATTGATCTTCGCTCTGTTGTTGTACACGTTGCCGTACTTGTCGTACAGGAGTACGAGTCCATGTTGGATGTGTTGCAGCTGGGGGGGCTGCAAAAGGTGACCGCCCGGCTGATCGACGGGTTGGACTTGCGTCAGGACGATGAGCGCTTCGAGGTCAGCTTTGTGACGGTGGTGCCATTTTTCAGGTCAGGGGGGTTGGGGCCAGGCGTTGGGCTGAGTGGCGGCTGTTGGGTGTTGGGTGCTGCAGAAAAGGTCGCGTACATGTATTAACCTACCTACACACACACACACACACTTGTACACACATCTTTACAAAATCAGCCAACTTTTATCAGGTTATTGCTGGACCACTTTTTCCTGGTAGCATAAAAATCGTGTGATATATCCCAACAGCTCAACAGCTTTTCCGGCTCAGTACATTCAAACACAAACATCGGCTTTATACGGCATCCAGGACGTATACTGCAATGAGCAGCAGCGGCGCGTTCGTACGGTTCAGAGTTGGCCTTGTTTCGCTGTGACGGTGTTGTGGGGTTGCTGTCGTTGCCGGCCCCTCCCGAATTCGAATTTCTTATCGTCCGGGTATCAGAGTCTCCTGGATGTCGCGTGTGTCACATGTGTGGCACAATGTCACAAGTCGTATATGCTGACGTCATGACATGCGACGTCATGTCACGACGCCCACAGGGTGACGGAGGGGAGCCGCTTCGACCGTACGAGCTCCATGATGCGACGGGACCTGCGCCCGGGTCGGCAGACGGCGCAGGCGGCGCGTGTGCCCGGTAGGCTGGGGTTGGGGTTGGAGAGGGAGGCCGGGCAGCAGAAAGGATGATACTGCAGCGAGCGAGCGGGCGAGTGAAAGGAGGCTGTGTGTGGTGTGTGGCGGTGTGGCCCTGGGGGGGGCAAGAAGAGTGTAACCAGTACAATAACGTCCCCAGTCTTCTCCAGGGTCAGGGGCCGGTAGGAAGGAGGTCATCGGGCCCACCCTAGCACTCCTTGCCGGCTATAGCTCTTCACGTGTCGCGCCTCTCTCTCCTCCCACCCCCTTCATGACCATCGGCACCCACCCCTCAGGCGGTGTGGTTGTGGACATGGAGTGGGAGGCCCCGCTGGCGGGGTCGCTGAGGGAGGAGTACGTGGTTTCGGAGGACGGTGCGGCAATGTCGGTCACCAGCACTCTGAAGATTGGCACACGAACGGCGGTCGCCACGCAGGTACGACGGAGGTGTCTGTCTATGGGGACCCTAGGTGGGGGTGGGGGTGGGGATGGGGAGCAGATCGCGTAATAAGGTGCTTAATAAGCTGTATGTCAGGACGCACATTGTGAGTGTGTATGAGTGCGCAATGTGTGTATCTATATGTATGTATGTGCGATGTGAAAACAGGACAGGTGGTGCATCCGCATGTGTGTGTATTAAGTGGACAGTGTACTCGGAAGTCCCACGCCATAACTCTGGTGCTTATCAGGCTGCACGCTGGGAACGCAGGTCCAGGTCCAGGTTCGTGTGTGCGTAAGCGCAGCGTTTTTTTAAGTAATGTATTCCTTGAAAGGAATAAATGGAGGGCGACCCGTACATTTTCATTCCTCCAGCCAAAAACTGCCAGATTGCTCCGTAGTGTGCAGAACTTAGTATTTGCAATCATACAATGGATATGACAGGGCGTAAGAAGGTCACGCCCGTGAGTCAACGCGGCATAGCAGCATGTATGACCGGTCCTCACATAGCCAAACACGTACAAGGCAATGACTCGCGGCGGGTGACGGCCTGTGATTTGCTATGCGGTTGCTTGCTTTGGGCCTTTGCTTGGTCGATTTTACTTATTGCTCGCAAACAGTGCCAGAACTATCTACGCATGTGCACGAAGAGTGCACACACGAACGAAAATGCGCCAACTCAGTGCGTGCCTCTCTTGGGGGGGGATCTACGAGGGGAGTTGTAACCATAAGGGGGGGGCTGGGGGGCCCCAGCGCCTCACATATAAGGAATAAATTATGACAACCCTAGCAACTGTGTTACTTAGGTTGGAATAAATTGAGACCCGTCCTAAACGAAAAAAAAATTCACTGCGTATGCGTGTATGTGTATATGTGTGTGTGTTTCACCCCTTCCCTCTCCCCTCCGCTCACAGGTTTACCGCCGCAGCAGCAGCAACAAGAGCGACTTTCTCGCCTCCAAACGCTCTTCGTACGGCAGTCTGACAGACGTGCTCCAAAGCCAGGAGCAGAAGTACGGCAAGCTCGAGTACTAATGACTATGTTGAGCCTTTTTTCGGGGGATCGCGGGGGATTCGGGGAGCTTTGCGAACCGCTGGGCCCATGACGAATCTCATTGAACCCGTATCGTACCGTTACCCTTTTCATTTTATTGCGTTGAGTTGAGTTGCGCACAGCATTTTTACCTAGTCACGTTAGCTTTATGCCCCTGCATGTATGTATGTATGTATGTATGTATGTATGTATGTATGTATGTATGTATGTATGTATGTATGTATGTATGTATGTATGCATGTATGTATGTATCATGCATGTTGCGGACGCGCATTCACTTTTGCTGCGGACTTGTTCCCCACACGGGATCGGTTAGTTGAGGTGTACGAAACGCACAACACCACAAAAAAACGCCACGACAACAACAGCAAGATCCATCTTTTTCCATCCATTCTAGGCATCCTTCCTTTCCTTGATCGTTACCGTTAGTTATTGCGGTCCATGTGGATCGCATGTATTATGGGCTTTTAGGGTTTTAGGGTTATTATGAGAGCCCAAACCCAGAAACTAAACCTGAATTCGGAGGGTGACTTGTACATCAGCAGTACGACGCGTGCAGGGGATGTGAGGATGGCGCGTAAGTGCCTGAGCGGAGAGTGAGGCGAATGATGAGAACGAAACATGTGTTTTGTACGGCAACGCCGTGTCCTTCCTGGACGATAGCCATCACGGTGGTGGATGTCGATTTGGAGGTTTCCTCGGAGAGAGTGACGCTGACCGGGCCGCTTGAATGGCTGGCGGTGCGCAACATGACTCTAAAAGCCTGGCCTGCATTTCGACCTGGTCTTCGTGGCCCTCAGTCGCAAGCCATATGACTACGTGCTTGTAGGTCATCGTGTCGTACGATTCGCGTCACCAACGCGGGTGAGTGCCCCACGGTGATCTACGGAGCTCGGGTCAACGTGACTGTAGGTTGAGTGGACATGCGGGTGAAGTTTATCATCATTCCTTAGGGGGCGCGCCTGGTTGGTGTACCTTAGCGCCGAGCCACGCAGGATTGTCGAATGTCTGGCTTGAGAGGAAACGTGCGTGTCCCGATTTTCAGTACAGCACTTGAGTAGGCCACTGACTGGCTATTCTTTGTGTAATTCCTCAGGGCTATGGTTTCGTCGTGCTGACTTTCGTCGTGAACAACGAAAACGGCCACGGGGGGTTCGCACTTACTTGTTGCAAGGTGGTCAAGTCGAACATGGACATGGGCAGTAATGCGTCCATAAAATCGTGTCGCGGGCGTTTTTGGAATGGTTTGGGGGCATCTTACTTATAAGCTTTTCGAGCGTGAAAACTGCTTGTACAGTCGAGATGAAGTCTCTCGTGCTGGCCAAAAGCAATATGTCGTACCGGTGTATCAATGGCATCTCTACCGGCTCAATGGGGACGCTCTGGATGCATGTAACGTTTTGGGGTCGGTTGACGACCTGTCGTTGGAGCTTTGTCGCGTGATTGTCGTAACTTCGGAGCTAGCGGAGCCCGTAAGCGGATAGTACGGCTTTTGCAGATCAGTGACGTGCAAGAAGGACATGGCTATTTAAGCGGACCCTTTTATAAGCTATGTCAGTCTAAGTTGAGCTTGAAGAACTTTGCCCCTTCTTGGCCTAAGTCAGTAGGTTACATTGCCAAGCTTCAGCCTGTTTCAGCTTCCCAAATCTTAAGGTGCGGTCTAATCACTTTTCAGACATCAGAAAAGCTCGACCGTACCTAGTCAGCCGGGGCTTTTGCAGGCTTGTTGCTGGCTTGCGTATATCGCATGTCATCGCGTTCACTCGCCCCGCTTGCTGGAAAAAATCAGTAGCAGGGACCTCGACACTCCGTATAACATCCTTCGCAGATTGCACGCATGCTTTTGAGGACCGCCGTCGCTAGCTGGATGGCGCACGTGCACTTTCGTCACCTATATAGGCATGTAGGCTGAACCCCAGAAAGAATACTGAATTTGCATGATCATTACCGTCAGCGGGTGTCACGTTTATAATATTGATGTTATGAATTTGTGCATTGAAGCTTGGAAAAACGGTACACATTTCTCGTGGTGTTTTTGTTCGTAAGTCGGAAGAATAACCCATTCTACCTGTACGCCAGGGCCAAAACAATCGCATGGGAGTCCTACTCAAACGGTTATTCTTTTGTTTTCAGTACGTCTCGTCACATCTGAGGTTGTAAGGAAACAATTCTGACAGCGGATAAGTCACGGCGCCATCTCTCCGCCTTTCTGACCAGTGCTGAACATCATAAAAATTATACCGTTTCGCAATACGACATCTTGCAGCACACGTCCGTGTCGCTGAGCCTTTGGCGCGCAGAGCATCATAAGCTTCGGAGCGCCTGCCTATCCCTCGCTGTCTCTATCCTCCCGTTAACTAGACCACATCTTCACGATACCTTTTGAGGCTGTCCATCGAACGCCATGTGATGCTGCACTTCGGCGCAAGTACAAATTTTAACGGTCCTCGAGACTACCTTCGAGAGCATTTTCGCACATCTAGCGACGACGTTCCCCGCTTAAGGGCCCCAGCCGTAGACCTCAGCGGCAGAGAGCTTGGAGCTGGCCATGCTTACCTTTCTCAGCGCTGTGAGGGCTTCTCCGATTCGGACGACGTCCTTTGCACCGCGCTGTATCTGGCTCGGAAAGCTTCACAGTCGGATGCCAGCGGATTACCAGGGAACTCCAAAAAGCTACGGAGCACCAGGCTGTGCAGCAAGGCAACGGTTGCGGCGGTCATGGCCACTGTGCAGCCCCAGCCCGCCATCGCGCCCGCAGCGGCGCGGTCCTACAAAGCAGCGGCACGCAACTCCCCAAACCTGGCAGCAGTTACGGCGGGCCTGTTCAAGATGCGCACAATAGCTAGCAAACTAGCAGTGCCACGTCTGGAGCGACGCGTTTTGAACAGCATGGTGGCGCTGCCACCTTTGCCGGAGCCCAACCTTGCCGAGGTAAGGCTGAGAGGCGGTCGAGTCCAACCTACGAAACGCGCCTCCATCCATTTGAAAAGGGAAGATCATAGCAAATGATGGGGGCAGGCTATCAGGCACACGTTGGGATCAGGTTGCCAATTCAGCTCCTGGGACACGGAAGAATGTAGTATATGTATGACCCAACTGCATCATCGCTGGACGGAATTTGCCGCCTCGAGGCCCGACCAGCATGTGGTATTGGGGTACCCCAGGGTACCACCCCAGGCGTAAGAGGCGATATGGGTCGATGTGGGTCGTAATCTCCATGTGGTCCATTCGCTTCTGCGATATGGGTCGCGACAATTTCGCAGAACAGTTCATGTCGGCGTGTTGCTGCTTGCTGGCCGCGACCCAATACACCCCCGGGAAGGGCTCCAACCGTTAACCTCCGCAAGGTATCCCCCGAATCCACCTCCCTCTCCACCCAAGCTCAAGCGCCGCAAATCAAAGCGCCGCCGCCCCTGTTACATCCACCCACGACTTCCACACGTCAGTACATGAACACACAATAAATCTTGGAAAGAGACGAGCCCTCAGCCTTATCCTGCGTGGTCAGGATCGCATGCCACTTATCAGGCAGGTCCACCGGGATTCTTACGACGCGGCCGACATGCCCTGTCGTGTCCTATTTAGGCATCACCAAGCGGCACCCGTGCCTGCGAGGCGGGTACGTTGAACCAAGGCGCCAGGGCCGAGCCGCATGGCGACGTGGTAGATATTTCCGGGGATATTTCCCTGAAGTTGCTGTGGTCGGAGGTGGCGAGGGGAGCTCAGGAGGCGCGACTGACGGACCTGGAGCCAGCGGGCGCGGGCGAGGCGCTGGTAGGTTTGGATTTGGATTTGGGTTTGGATTTAAATTCGGATTTTGATTTGGATTTGGATTTGGAGATTTGGTGCGGGCGAGATGGCTGTTTGGAACTGGACATGTGGGTTTCATATCATCCACCAGTAGGGTTCATTCAATAAATTGCTGAGATCTGGATCCATACTCCCCAGGAAAACACGTTTGTCAACACGTTTCGTGATAACCAAGCAGTGCAATTAAGTGTTTCGTGCCTAGACACATGTCGTTAATGTTTACTCCTGTAATTTCTGGGTTTTCGTTGAAGAAATTTGGTTTCGGGGCTGTTGTATAAGTTTTAGTTTTGAGAGTTCAATAATACCATGTATGTGAGGGCGAGAGCGAGGTCACTGAGGGCTGCTTTGGGGAGCATGGCGCTCTCCAGGTCGGCTGTGCGTCACCGCTTTTGGCCTTCTTTGGAAAGGGGATCAGAGGGAAAAGGGCACGGTGGATTTCAGGGGCTGCTCGCGCCTGCAGCGTATTGTTACTCTGTAGCCCCCACGCTGCTGCTGAGAGTTGGGCCCCTACGGAGATGCGGTATCTGGCGCAGCCGCACGAGGCCGAAGGAAGCCGTCCGGGGCTCCGGGGTGCGTGTGTGCACCGGGCATCTTGCAGGGCACGGCACCTCCGCTCCACGCCGTTGAAAGATTTGGTTGCGATGTGGATGTCGGGTTGGGCCTTCCTTGATGTTGGTCTTGCCGACCCTCACCAATTTCCGTGCCGCCGTGCTTCACAGGCCAGGGCTCTCGAACCTGCTCCAATAGCCGCGACGCGAGCGCCAGTGCCAGTGCCAGCGCCAGCTGCCGGCTGCAGACTGAGTCCCCAGTCTGGACGAGCCTCGGTGCGTCCTACAGATGATCCAGCAGCAGAAGCAGGAGCTCGTGAAGGACCCCATGAACCACCCGCGGAAGCCGGTCCTCGCCGTACTTGCAAGGGGACACGTATTTCCGTACAGCCTCTTAGTGCGTTGCTGCGGCAGCTGCTACTGCGCCGGCAGCAGCGGCAGCAGCAGCAACAGCTCCTTCACCAGCAGCATGAACACCCGTTGATGCTATCACAAGAAGAAAAGAACGGGTCGTCGCTGGACAGGCGAGTCGGTCGGAATCGCCTGTCGGACAGGCGCGCGTTACTGACCCACGGGTCGCTGGGCTGCCCGGCGGTACGCCGCTTGTCGCCTACGGCGATTCCTGGGACATGGCTGCGAAGCTTGTCCGCGGTGTCTCCGGACAGTCCACGACGAGTCCTGAGGGTCGGAGGCGACTCCGTCGGCGGTCCGGACTGGGATTCCAATAAACCGAATAAGGCGACGGAGCGCCGATCGGATGGGTCGGTTGAGCCGGATGGCGGTCCTGTCGGTACCCCGGCAGCGTCCGCGAAGCAGCAGCAGCAGCGGCAGCAGGGCTCGCCTGGGCATAACCCCCACCGCATATATGAGGTGCCTGCAGAGGGCTGTTACCGCAGCGAGCATCAGCTGATGGCGGCTGAGGCGGCTGCCTCTGTGGCGGCGCTGGTGCGCCTGGGGTACGACATAGCGGGGGGCCCATGCGAGGAGGTGGCGCCGTACGCGCCAGCGCCGTTGCCAATGTCAGTGCCGGTTGGCGAGAGTCGGATGGGCGCTGGTATTGGGTTAGGCGGGCGCGCAACGACGCGGTACGGCGGCTCTGGGGGCCATCAACCGAAGACTCGCCAGCACCGTGCTGCCCGCTCGGCGTCGCTGCTACCAAGCGGTGCAGCCGCGGCCTTCCAGCGGCTTTTGCAGCTACAGCCCGAGCCATTGCCGCCGCCATGGCCGCGTCCACCGCCATCTTCCGTACGGCCGTTACAAGCACCCGGTTTCCTGCCGCTGCCGCTGCAGCCGCAGCTGCGGGGTTCGACCCCAAGGTCGCCTCCTTCTGGGTGCCCTTCGGGTGTTGCAAGTCCGGATGGAGATGACGCCAGCGGCGGCATTGTACGGCGACCAACCGGCGGACCGCTGGTTGAGCGGTTGCTGCACGGCGTGCAGCGGGTGCTTAGCACCGATCCGGCGAGTCGTCTTGCCGCTGCCGCCGGCAGCGCTACAGCCCCGGCAGCACGGCTCTCCCGCGCCCACGCCGACCCGCTGATGGTGGGACCCCTCCGCCACAGCGCATTTATGGCGGCGGCGGTGGCTGCAGTTGCTGCTGCTGCTACTGCTTCGAAGCGGGCGGTTTCGCACCTGGAGGATGATGAGGGCAGCACGGTCACCGCCGCTGGCGGTCCTGGTGGCCGTGACGTGGCGCATGGGCTGGGCGACATGGGCTCGGAAAGGGTTGTGCCCGCTAATAAGTCGTTACGGAACCGCGGCCAGCACGTGACGACACAAGCGGTGCTGCTCCTGGAGCTGCCCGTACACATGCCGTACGACGGACCCTCCGTCGTGCAAACGGCCATGCGAGGCCTGGTTGGCGCTGTGCATGCGGACACCATGCTGACGTGGCGGACGCTGGCGGCGGTGGCTCCGCCGCAGCTGCCGCTGCCGCTGGGACAAGCTGAGGCTGGCTTGCTGGGGGCGTCTGGTAGTGTTGCGCGCGGTGGCAAGACCCGGGGTGCCGTCTCTGGCGGAAGTAAAGGTGGTGGCGGTGGCGCCAGCGGCGGGGAAGCATCCGCTGAGGTGCACCGCAGGCGGCCGACGACGTGTGTGGAGGACCTCATAGCAGAGGACCTGCAGCTAGCGGATGATGATGGCGGCGGCGACGGCGGCGGCGGCGGAGTGCGCACTCTGCCGGTCGTACTGCTACCGAATGATTCAAAGGACGCGGCGTCGTTCGCGGAGTCAGCACCGGACGTACTTCGCGGCGCGATGGCGGACCTGGGTTGTACGACAGCTGTCACCGCACACCTTGACTTGTACCTCGATTGGTCGGTGCTAGGATCTGGTGCAAGGCACTCTTCGACGGCGTCGGGGCTGATAGGCGTACGGCACAGCGGCCGCGGCGCCAGCGGCGGCAGCGGCGCGGCGGCAGCGGCGGCGGCGTTCCTCCGTGCGGCACTTTCGCCGACGCCGGTGGCGGCGAGCACGAAATGCAAAGCGGAGGAGAAAGCGGCGGCGGCGGCGCAGCGGCTTCCTGAAGTGCTAGCTCCCGGGGTGAAGGGACCCATCTTGGGGCTCCTCTCAAAGCGATGGTGGGTGCTACACTCCTCCTCTCTCGCCCGCTCAGCGGACTGTGCCTTGTGGCCAGGTGCAGCAGCCCTGCTCGCCCTCCGCCGGTGGCAGCGTGGCATGCTGCCGCCTGCGCCAGACGGACGCCGTACCATGAAAGGGGCTGGCGGCGACGCCGGAGGCGGCGGAGAGGCAGCTGCTGCTAGCGGCCGGGGGCCCCAAGGCGCCCAGCTGCTGCGGGAACCTGGTAATGCCGCCCCAGGGGGCCGCAGCGGCGTCAGGCGCGGAGGCGAAAGCCTCGGCCGCGGTGACGGCGTCACCGCCGCTGCAGCCGCCGCCGCGTCGACGGGATTCGACGGTTGTATGGCAACCGACGGCAGCCGTACCGTCGCCATCGCTGACGGCGGCGGCGGGAGCGGCTCCGTTAGCGCCGTCACGAACGCACCCATCGCTGGCATGAAGCGGGCCCACAGTCTTGGTGAGGGGTGGGGCGGGGGTAGTAGAGTGGAGGCAGCTGCGAGCAGCAAAGCTGGGATAGCAACGCCTGGCGGCGGCGGTGGAGGTGGTGGAAGCAATAACGACAGGGGTGCAGCAGAGGCCAACGATGCCGTGGGCGCCGGCCTGGCGGCGGCTGCGCACATAAGCGTGAAGCGGCAACGAACCGACGTCAGCGGCACAAGGGCGCACACAGCTGTAGCAATCGCAGCAGCAGCTACAGCTGCGGCAACAGCGGCGACGTCGACAGCGTCCAAAGGAGGAGGTTTGGCATTAGCAGTAGCTGCAGCTGCATCGGTAGCACAGGCAACGGCGGCGGCGGCACCGGCCTCCACCGCTGCGCCGGCAAACGGCGACAGCAGCAGTAGCATACCAGTAGTGCCGCCGCCGCCCCGCCAGCAGCCGCCGCCATCCGCCCTGCCGGTGCCAGGATGCACTCATACTGCGGTTGCTGCCGGCAACGGCGTTAGCCAAGGCACTAACGCGCTTGCGCGGCTGCAGCAGCTACAGCTCCAAGGGGCGGCGGACCTGCAGTTCTTTCTAAAGCTGCAACAACCGCCGAAGCAGCGCCAGCCGGATGCAGCTGGCGAAGCGCCGGCGGCGGCGGCGGCGCCGCCGCATCTAGCAGAGGCGCCGCCGTCGGTCCCGGGGGGCAAGCAGTGCACGATATCCCTGGAGCTGGACGATCGACAAATTGCATTGCTGTCGATGCTGAGCACGGCGCATGACGCGTTGGTGGCGGCGGCGACGGCAGCACTGGAGGAAGCGGCGGAGGCCGCGATGGTGGTGGCTGATTGCGGAGGCGGCGATGGGGAGGCAGTGGCGGAGGCGGAGGCGGAGGCTCGGGTGCTGCAGTCGGGGCTGTGGGAGGTGCGGTTGCCGTCCGAATTTCGGTGCCTTCCCCAGTCGTCCATATCTTAAAGTTGAATATGGGTTGCGGCAGCATCCCGACGTTATGGGGGACGTGTCGAGGTGTCATGACCCTCCTCTTGTCGCTGTTCAGGCGTTCGAGTTCGACTAGACGATTATGATTATGATTATTATTGAAACGTCTTTGCGCTAAACGCCCACTGATGTGTGTAGACATGCGCGCAGCACGACCGGGCCCCCGGCCCCCCAATGAGTAAGTCCTGCTTCTACTTGTGTGTGTGTGTGCGTGTGTATGTATGTGTGCAGACAACCAACTGGTGGGGCTGTTCCTGCACACTGCAACTCCCCAACCCCCCGCCTAACCCCTTCCTAACACCCTTCCTAACCCTCCGCCTAACCCCTTCCTAACACCCCTCCTAACCCCCCGCCTAACCCCCCTCCTAACCCCCCCCACATTATGATGATGGTGGTGGTGGTGGTGGTGGTGCAGGCGGAGGCAATGGAGCGGCTCATGACCACGCACCAGGAACGACATAGGAACATGCAACAGCAGCAACAGCAACAGCAACAACAAAGCGGTCGGATTGCGCCCAAGCGCAAGGCGCTGCTGCAGGTGCGCAGCGGTCGCTGTCCTCTGCACACACACACACACACAGACCCGGTCAGCTACTTGTAATCTACGCACTCTACACACACACACACAGACGTGCGACCCATCAGCCGCTGCGTTGGCCCCGCATTTGTATTGTGTGGGACACACGGGGTTTACCTGACTTCGCGCCACTGCTGTCCTACAGGGCCTTCAGTTCCCCCCTCACCTCCCTCCGCAGTTCCCCCCCTTCACGCGCGGAGGACTTCGAGTCCTTGGGGAGGGATGGGGGAGTGAGATGTTGATGGACGCAACTGGGGGCTTCGAAGGGGATGTTTTGGCGGCACTCCAAGGGGGGGGGGAAAAGCGGTGTCAGTTCAGGGGTAGCACCCTCCCCCCCTGGGGCTCATCCCGCCCGCAATCGGGCCCCGTCAGAGCTCCGTCGTCGGAGCACGTATGGCCTCAATTTGGTGTTTACTTTACTCGGCACCTACCACCAATCCAAACGGAAAGGGGTTCACACGCCCACCCCTCAGCTGCCCTAGATTCCGGTTCCAAGGTGGACATGTGAACCCCGCCCACTCCGCAGCCGCTTGGGAGCTGGAATCCCGTGTCACCTCGCCTCGCCGCGCGTCACCTCGCGCCCTCGTGCTGTGTGGCCCGATCACACAAAGTTTAAAGACTTTTGGATCCCGTACCAGTGTTTTTTGTACCCCGAAGTGAAAGAGTTTAAAGCGATGATAACGGTCAACTGCCAACGGTCAACTCCCAACCGCAGATGTACGTGGCCATCATGGGGCTCCGGCAGGCCGCTGGAGCGTTGCTGCACTACGGCGTCAGGTAGGAACCGCACTCTGTCGTACAAGTTTGCCGTACATACGTATCTAAGTACTTACCAGACACCGCTGTGTCGTCAACGTGTTTTCTCAATCCCCGTTCCCGCCGTTCGCCGAAACACACACACACGCGCGTGAGGTCACGCCACCGTATCATGACACGCACCCTTGCTGTCGCCAACGTGTACGGCGTTACAAAACACGGGGCGTTGAAACCCCCTTTTCAGGATGTCGGTTGCCCCGGCGGTGTGTAATTCACCTTCCCGCAGCCCCCTCCTAACCCGCGCTCCTGGGTGTGCTGGAGGGTTTTACTCGCGCCCGGTTGAAGGTCCCCCACTCCCGGAGCCATACTAGCCGCGCCGCGCCAGTCCACTGCTTTTGGAATTACTTGCCGTTCATATGCCCCGTTCATATGCCCCGTTCAAATGCCCCGCAAAAGGCAAACAAACACTCAAAACGTACACCCCAAAGCGCGGCCAGCAGCACCACCGCCTACGGCTTAGCGTGTACGGCAGCCACGTCATCCCGCAGCATTCCGCCGTACGCAACCGCCGTACACGATTTTTTCCCCCAGGGTTGCGCACCTGGCTCTTGGGCAGCTGGCCCGGCAGCTCCCGCGCCTGTCTCATCTGTGCGGGGGCGCGGTGGAGGCGCTGGAGGAGGCCTTTCGACAAGTGGACGAGCAGCGCTCCGGAGCCCTCGACCCGGCGGTGGCAGTGGCAGCGGTGGCAGCGGTGCCGCCAGCAGGTGCCAGCACCCCCGCGGCCTCGGCCTCCGCCGCGGCTGACCGTGGTGTGGGGCCGACGTTGCTGGTCCCCCCGTGCGTGGCGGTTGCCGGCGGTCTGTCGGATCACCCCTCTGTGGGGTCCGTGCAGCGGCTGCTGGTCGTGGCGGATACGTTGAGGCCCGTAAGCGCGCTCCTGGAGGGGCTTAGGGTGGGCCCTGGGACATGCGGACAAGTCAAGGAAGTAGCTGTAAAGGGGAGAGGGGGAGGGCGGGAGGGCGGGTGGGGTGTGGGTGGGTGGGGTGGCGGGGTGGCAGAGGCGGCGGCAGCGGTTGAGGTGAAGCAGTCCTAGTTAATAATGATTGAGTTCTTTATGTGCGTGATGAAGCATGATGTGCGTGGGGGCTCATCACGCACCCAGGCAACCGGTTGCAGCCAGTGGTAGATGTACAAGTGCCTGGGACCTCAGGCAGCTGCCCCTATACATAAACACACACACCACACACACACACACACATACACACACACACACCACACACACACACACACACCACACATACACATACTCGTTTGCACCTCATGCGCACGCTTGGCACAGCAACCAGTCACCTCAGTCACCCCCATCACCCCCCGTCTTGCCGGCCAGCTAGTTGAGCATCATACTTCTCCAACACAACCGCGCCACCGGAAGCGGAAACAATAACCCTAAGAAGCCCGCTTCCCGGCTCCTCCTCCCCACGCTAGGTCTGCAGCACTGCTGCCTCTCCTGAACGGATCACCAAACTGTTTCTGCACTTCGTCCGGTCGTCCTCCTCCCTCCTCTCCCCCCATCCCCTCCTCCCCTCTCCCCCCCACTCCCCCCCACTCCCCCCTTCCGCGCCGTCCAGGATCCACGAGTGCTCATCGTCAGCGACCCAAGGGCCTTCTTCGTACTCTACCCTGCCGTACAAGCCTCAGGGCTGCGTGCCGCACACCTGCCGGCAGCCGTGACCAAGGCGCTTCTCGCGGGGGCGGACGGGACCGCGGCGGCGGGCAATGGGGCGGCGGCCGCAGGGGGCCCCGGCAGGGGGGCCAGTAGCAGTAGCAGTGGCGGAGGCGAAGGCGGCGGCGGTGGGGGTGAGCCGCGCAAACCCCTTGGCACAGAAGCGACTGGGTCTGTCCCGCAAGGAAAGGTGGAGGTGGAGGCGGTGAAGGCTGCGGCGCAGGTGGAGCCAGGGGTTGTTGGGGGAAGCGGGGAAAAGGCGGGGGGTGCGGACCTCACTTGGTGCCTGGTGGGTTGTGGAGCCACTCGTTCAGGGAAAGCCCGCAGCCGTCGTGGGTAGGTGGGTAGAGGGAGGGGAGACGCGGGACACGGCACACACGGCTTCCGTTGTCACGGCGGCTCGCCATAGCCGTGGGCCCCCCCTCTCCACCCTGCTCCCCGGGGATATTCTTCGTCCACTCCGAAATCTAGTCGCTTAGCCGGCGGCTGCTTTGTGAGTCCTCCGTTTGCCAATCCTTTGCTGCATGCCCCTGACATGGCCCCTGCCCCTGCTGAGACAATGTGATCCTCTTTTCTTTGCCATGTAATAAGGAACCCCCACCTCACCCTGGCCGTATGTCCCTACCGTGCTGCGGCGGTCCCGGCGGCGACCGTGGCGGTGGGCGGCGGACGGCTGGCAATGCAGCCTGGAACTTGCCTCTTCGTCAGCCACAGACTGGCGGCATCCACCGCCGGGCCGTTTCCCCTCGAGTACTTTGATGTGCTGTTGATCATCGCACCAGATCGTCCGGGAGCGTGGGGTGGCGGCGGCGGTGACGGCAGTAGTGGTGGCGGCCGTGGGCTGGCGGCGGCGGAAGCGCGGGAGGGCTGGAATGCCGTATCGAAGCGGCTTCGCGAGTGTGGGGTTGAAAGGTGAGGCGTGAGGGGGGAGAGTCCCCGGCGCCGCTGCCCGCAGCCCGCGGGGCGGCCGGGGCGGCCGGGCGGTTTGCGCTGCGTCTGTCTGGTGCGTCGTCTGGCTGTTGGCATGTAAATGCTCTCGTCTGGAGTACGGACTGGGTACGGAAAGCCACGTGCATATTTGGTTTCGTCTGGAATAGCATCGTGTTCACACAGCAACCCCTCGTGGATTTCCTCACCATGGGTAAGCTCCTATTTTCTTAAGTTACGGCGCGTCCAACCTTAAAAATGGATCCTCAGAGCAGCGGAGCAGAATCTTCATCCCCTTTCTGTCCCGATTCTCTCTTTTACCAGGCACCTGCTAATCACACGGCGACCGCATCCCAGCCGCCTCAAAGCCGTTGCCGCCGCTGGCGCCGCCCCTTTCGCTGCTGGCGCAGCGGCGGCGATGGAACGAGGCCTCTGCCCCAAAACCAGTGCGGGCGCCAAATTCGATGATTCAAAATCCGTACAGTGTACGATGCAGCCCGCGCTTCCCGACAGATTTCATGCCCCACAGCCGCCTCCACCTCCACCACCGCGGCCACTGCTACAGCTACAGCAACCGGAGCTGGAGCTGGAGACTCAGCTACAGCCGAACAGGATGCCGCTTGCGGATGGGAGTCAGGGGGCCCGCGGGGAAGTGGAAGGGTTTCGGAGCTCACAAACACACGTCGAGGAGGAGTCCTCTGGCGGTGACGCCGGTTTGCGACGGCAGGTGCGGACGGTGGCCGCCGCCGCGGCGACGGCACTGGCCCGCCTGCCTTCATCATCACTATCGCAACAGCAGCAGCCACAGCCACAGCCACAGCAGCAGCAGCAGCTGCCACAGCAGAGCACGCAGGTGCACGTGTTGGGGCAGCCGACGCGACAGCAGCCGCCGGCGCCACATCCCCCGAGCCAGGGGGTCCAGAGTTATGTTCACAGCCAAAGCTGCGGAGCACTTGGAGCCCCAGGCCCTAACCCACTCCCGCCCCCAGCCCCAGCAGCCGAGGAGCAGATGCAAGGAGGGCAGGAGCGCGAACAGCAGCACCAGCACCATCCACAACAGCAGCAGTCTCTTCCAGGGGTTGTCCAAGGGCCCTCCGTCACCGCTGCTGGCGCAGCGCCCGCCGGTGCCGGCGACAATGCGGCGGCGGCTGGCGGCGGCGGAGTTGCGGTATCCCAGGGCGGCAGCGGCGGTCGCTGGCCGCTGGTGTTGAGCTCTGATCCAGGCTCTGCACTGCGCAGCCGTCCCAGCTTGAGTGATGCACTGCTGCGGCGGTGCGGGACGACGTACGGCACGGAGGCCTGGTGGCGACCGTTGGACATCGCGGACGTCGTACTGTCGCCCGTGGCCTGCGTTGCCATATGGCCTTTCACGCCGCCGCCGCCGCCGCCGCCGCCGCCGTCACACAATCAATTCCAGCAACGTTCGCGTCAACCGATGCAACCACCAACAGCTTCGGGGGTCGCTTCGCCGATGCCGCAGGAAGAGGTGCGGTGCAGATGACTGTACGAGTGGCTGATGTGCTGTGCTGTGGGGCTGCAGCAACATACATCCATATCACACCCCAACAGACCGAAGCACCGCTGCGGCGAATATAAATCCCCAACTCCTCCAATGAGACCGTGTCCTTAAAACCGCTACGCAAATCCCTTCTTACCTCCCGAATGCGCACAACCTACACCGCACACTCCGCACCCCACACCGCACAACCCACACTCCCCGTTCTTAGCTCCTTCCTTACCTCCTTAGCTCCTTCCTTACCTCCTTAGCTCCTTCCTTACCTCCTTAGCTCCTTCCTTACCTCCTTAGCTCCTTCCTTACCTCCTTAGCTCCTTCCTTACCTCCTTAGCTCCTTCCTTACCTCCTTAGCTCCTTCCTTACCTCCTTAGCTCCTTCCTTACCTCCTTAGCTCCTTCCTTACCTCCTTAGCTCCTTCCTTACCTCCTTAGCTCCTTCCTTACCTCCTTAGCTCCTTCCTTACCTCCTTAGCTCCTTCCTTACCTCCTTAGCTCCTTCCTTACCTCCTTAGCTCCTTCCTTACCTCCTTAGCTCCTTCCTTACCTCCTTAGCTCCTTCCTTACCTCCTTAGCTCCTTCCTTACCTCCTTCCTCCAAGGCCTACATCGCCTAACCCCGCACCTTCCCAGGTTCAGGCCTTCGTGGACGTGCTACTGCCGGTCATGACCGACCGGGTGGTGCTGCTGTCCATGCGCTACTGCCGCGCCACGGTGGTGTTCGAGGGGCCGCCGGAGCTCGGGGCCGCGCTGGTGCACCGCTCCGCACCACTGCAGGCGGCTGCGACCAAGGCCGGGCTGCGACTGGTGCTGCTCGCCACCACCGGGCCCTCCGCGACCCAGGCGCGTGTCCCTCCCCCACACTGGCGTGAATAGCCCTGACGTGCGTTCCCGCTGTTGGCCTTTCCTTACTCTTGCTGTTGTACTGTCGATGTTGTCCTGTGGCATGTTGGAATGGGCGGGGGGCTGAAAACATGCTGGGGAAGTGGCGGGTGAGTCCCAGTGGCTGCGCAGGTGACTGCCGCCGCTTTCACCGTGGTCGTGGCGAGTGTAGTAGCTCCGATCCGTTGTGGGCGCCGTTGTGTTACAAGTTACAAGGGTACCCCCCCTTACCACAGCGTCCGTAAAAGCCTGAGAGGGGCCCCCCATGGATGGTTGTGCTTGCGGTTGTGGCATCACCCATACGATGACCGGTTTGTCAGTTTGTCACTAAAGCAGGCAGCGAAGCAGAGGAGTTACAGCAGCTACAGTTCATTATGATAGGGGCTGTTTATAGGGGCGTGACCGTCTGTTGACCGTCCTTGAATTGAATTTGCCGTATTGTTGTACAACAACCTGCCTGCCGCAGCATACTTTGCTAGGCGTCGTTGAGGCCGCTCTTCAACATGACCCAAGCTGCCGCCTCACGCTTGATGCGGTGAACCCCGGTGGCGCGCACGGCGACGGCGGTGATGGCTGCGATGATGACGGACATTTACCGTACGCCTGTTTGGACGAGCAGCCGACGGCAGCGGAATGGCTGTTATGTACGACGCCCTGCCTCAATCCCCTCAGCGCGGCAGCGTTGCTGGGGACTGGGCTTACTGTACGGCAACTGTTGCCGGCCATCATAGCCGCCGCCGCCGCCGCCTCAGCAACTGGCCCGGAGAACGGGAGCGGTGCCGCCGCGGCGCCGTCATTACCTGGCGGCGGCGGCGGACCAGTGGCGATGCATGCAGGCGGCGCCGCCGCCAGCGTTGGTGCCGGAGGTGGCGGCGGCTGTCGTGGCAGTGACGCAGATCCGGCCGTACGGCGTGTACGGGAGGCGATGAAGTACATACCGTCTTCATGTATGCCTCTGCTGGCAGCACACTTGGTTGCGGTGGGCCAGGACCGCCGGCTGCGGAAACAGCAACAGCAGCAAAGGGCGCCTGGGCAGAACGATGCCCAGGCACGTCACGAGCAGGCGCCGCTGCCGCGAGCATCATCCCACATACCGCACCATCAACAGCGGCAACCGGTGGACATGCAGGTGAACCAGATGCACGGACTACAGCAACAACGACAACAGCAGCAGGAGCAGCAGCAGGAATGGCAGCAGCAGCACCATCACCAGCAGCTGCACCATCACCAGCAGCTGCAGCAGCAGCAGCAGCTGCAGCAGCAGCAGCAGCCGCACACGACGGAGGAGGTGGCGGAGGCGGATCAGGCGGCCCAAACGATGTCGAAACGTCCTCGGCTGATGGAACCAGCCGCCGGCACAGCAGACTGCTCTGAGGGGTCGGATAGGGGCGGCGGTGACGCATCCTGGCTGCGGCGTGTGGCCGCAAACCCTGGTCGGGCTAGCTGGGCGCCACATCAAGAGCTGCAGCACGACCACAATCTTGGCCGCCTTAGAAATCACGGCCAGATCCACCGGGGGAATGAACGCTTTGAGGACCCGCACAGCGGCCCGCTACGGCCGCCGCCACCGCCGCCGCCTGCGGACCGCCGCCACCAGCTCCACACCGATCAGCAGCATCAGCACTTGTCGTACTTGCAGCAACAAGGGCGACGGTCGCACGAGCAACAGCAACCGCAGCAGCAGGACCGCCAGCAGTACCGACAGCATGTTCAACAGCAACACAATCAATACCAGCAAGAGCAGCAGCAGCAACAGCAGCAGCGGGCGGGGGGCAATCCAGGGGTAAAACCCATGGAGGGCCGTGAGACGCATCGACGGCATCCGGGACCGCAACCACAGTACATGGATCCCACGGGCCCCGTGTGTCCTATGGATCTGGATTTGGATTTAGATCTAGATCTCGACATCGGATCCGAGGAGCAGAAACACGTTGGCGGAGCGTTTTTTCGTCAGGCAGCAACCTCCGCGCACCGCACGCGCACCGGGTCATTTCTGGATCCCATGGGCGATGGCAGCGCTGGCGACGGGCATGCTGCTTCGCTGGCGCCGCCGTACGACCGAGTACGGCATAGTAGCATGTGGCCGGACCGCCAGGCGGCTGCCCATGCCTCTCGGACCTCCACACACGTGCACATGCCTACGACGACGTCTAGCTCTGGACACGGAGGGTACGGCAGTCGAGATTTGTTCGGCCTCGGAAATGGTCGTGAGGCGCCAGCGCTTGAGCTGTCGGTCGGGGACGAATTCGATACCGGATCTTCAGGTCGTCCAGTTGCCAGCGGCGGCGGTGGCGTCAGGGGCCGCATCCCAATGTCGTACAGGCCGGCGGGTGCAGCTGGCGGCATAACTGGCCATGGAGGCGGTCCACGGGGAGGTCCAGGCGCCAGCAATACGGATCTGGGATTCAATCCTGGCTTTGATCCTGATCTGGATGTAGATTTGGATCTGGATTTAGACCTGGATCCAGATTTGGGCGCTGGCGGCGAGCGCGTTGGACCCAGCGATGTCCCGGTGCCTAGGGCGGCCGCGGCTGGCGCGAGGTTGCCTTTATCTCCCCAAATGAACCACGGGTCACTCCGTGGACATGCAGATGGAAATTGGCAGCCGGATTCTGGGCGTGATGTGGACCACGCATCGCTTGACGCGGAACGGTTGCTGGTGAGTTAGGTTCGAGTTGATTTCGTTAAAAGAGCTGTACCAGGTTTGATTTCGCTGAGCCTGCACAGCTTTATTGTAAGAGGTGGATTCAGCTGTCCAGTCGCGTCGGTTTGTTTACCTGGGCTTGGTACCCTGGCTGCCTCACTGGGTGCGTGAGCCGGTTGTTGCTGGGTCGGAGCTAGGGCCAGGGCTTTGGGCTAAAGTCCGCATCACACCCCACATCGCTTTTTTGAGCCAAAGCAACCGCTCAACCTACCACACACCCGCTGAATCGGTTTATCAGAAAGCCCCATGGCCTTTGCAACCTTGTTGAGCCAGGGGCCAACCTTATTGGCCATCTGAGGCAGCTACTTACGTCGGGTCATTCACGCCTTGGTGTTAAGAACTCAGGTTTATCCTTTTCCTGAGGGGATTAATCTGCCGGTGGGGTTCGTCAGGGGCTACGGGACGCCGTAGCGCCCCCAAAGGCGATCTGGATCACGGGCACTCGACGCCAAGACATCCAGCCAAGACATCTCCCCTCCGGGCCTCTGCTTCCTTTAGGCCTTCGGGTCGTCACGTCATGGGTCGACGGCGGTCGCTGGCGGCCACTTTGGTCCTAAATTACCCTTTGGGGGATATTTCTTGATAACGCGGGAGGCAACGCGGTGGGGGCCGGGGGCCCCAAAAGGAAATCAAGACAGTGCGTACGAATGTATGTATGTATGTATGCATGCATGCATGTATTTATTACATGTACCCTTATCACCAACACATACTCCTCCTGCCGCTAGCTCACCTAGTTCTCTAACAGAAAACAACGTTCCTCGGCGACTTCCTCTCCCTGCTGTGTGCTTGAAGGACGACTTCCTGGCTCAGCGCCGTACAGCCGTACCGACAACAGTCGCAACTGGCACTGCCGGGAGGCAACGACCCCAGATGGCTCATACGCCCGCTCAGGTGATCGGTACAACCGCTGCGGCGGCTGGAGTTTTTGGAGCGTTCGCCAGGCCCAGCGGCGGCGGCGGCGGCGGCGGCACCGCCTCTGGTGCTGCGGCCGCGGCCCCCGGTTCAGCAATCGCCGCAGGTGCAGGGCATGGCGGGACCGGCGGCGCCTGGCAACGGGGCCCTGCAGTTCTGGGCAGATCAGGCGTTGTGCTGGGGGGAGTGGGTGGCAAGGGTGGCAGGGGCGGCTGGCGGGGCCGGGGGGTTGGCGCCAGCCGGGGGAGGCGCTCTAGCCGGCGCTGAACGCCTTCCTCCCAATGCATCATGACGTCACGTTTCATGTTCCAACGGCCGTACTTTGCTTCAAGTCCGAAAGTACGAGCTAATCGCGTTTATAGGCCCGGGCTTTGGAATACCTTGAGAGGAGTTGACCTGCCATAGAAGTCCCGTTCTCACCCCCCTTGTATTTATAAGTTGATTGTATACTTAGGAACCCCCGTGCGTGCATGAGCGTTCTTTTGTTGTTGTGGCGCACGTGCACGCGGTGGCACGACGCACTTGTTCAGCCCCTACAGGAATACTCAGTAGCGGTTTAGCAAATCGGCGACCGGGGGAGTTCTAGTCTCCCGCACCAGTAGTTGCGACTGCGGCGCCGGGGGTGATTTTTTAGCGCTTACATTGGGAAGGCAACGACGACGACAATGATGGTGGTGTAAAGGGTCCGGAATTATTGTCGCCGGTAGCCGCCACGCCTTTAACACCCCCGAGGAGATCTGTTCGATGTCATAGTTGACACTGCGGAGTGCGATGTATTGTCAGTCGGGGTGGTGGAGGTGGTGTGAGGTGAAGTGAGGTGACGTGAGCGCTGTGGGGGGTGTATAGGAGAGGGGCTTATGGACATTGCTGCCGGGCCCACCGGGCGCACTGTGTTTGTGTTTGGACCTGGAGACGACACGCAGGGGCCCCCGTGTTCCTCGTCTGTCTGTGGTGTTACAGGGTGGTTAAACTCCACCAGCGGCCCCCTTTCTCGAGGCAGTTCCCTGCTCTCCCCTGCTAGAGGGGCACCCTAATCCGTTCACCCCATCCGACTTCAGAATGTATTCGTCTGTCTGTGGTGTTACGGATGTGGGCAGCACAAAGGCCTTATCGGGAGGGGTGCCGCGGGTGCGCCTCTGGGGTGGGCTGTCGGGGATGTCCTCCAGAAGGGGGATTGCTGTAATCAATCGCGCGGAGGCTTCCTTCTTCCCATTTTTTCTCTGGCTTTTGAGGGCGGGCCCCCAAAGCGGCAGTGCGTTGCATGGGATATGTGGGATAATGCGGCCGTGGATAATGGCATCACGTTGGTCGCCTGGGTGATTCGAAGGGCAGGAGGTCCTGTCCAGGCTAACCGCTGCAGAGGTCCGGAGAAGCCGTATCGTCCAGCCGGGCAAAGTGGCGCGCCTGGGACGTGCGAGTGTGTGTGTGGTGTAGCATACCGGTCGTGTGGCATGTGACGAAAGGCGAGCTGATAAAAGTCGTTTGGTAGGAGTATCCGTCTCCCTCTGTGTCTGCGTGTGTAGTATGCCAGGCAGTGCCCAAGCGTAGATACTGGTTTGGCCAGCCACCACAGCAGGATGGCAGGGCTCAGCGCTTCAGGAGGATAGGAGCTTGGCGGGGAGATGGGTGAATTTTCGAGGCAGCCCGGCGCATACTCGGGGCATACTCGGCGTACAAAGGCCACGATACCTGGAGAAGCCATTCATGAAGAAGCAGTAATACTCATATGGCGTTCCAGAGGTACTAGCGGTCCAGCAGTGCTGAGGCTCGGGGCCTTGAGGCAAGAGCTCCGTTACCACCGGGCGTATACCCGGAGGCCGGGGATCGATGCAGCTCAGCCGATGGCGTGGACCCTAGCACTGCGAGGCAGCTGGATTCTGCAGTGGAAGACAAGCATAAGCTTGCGCCAGTGGTAGCGGTAGCGGTAGTAGTAGTAGGTGTTACAGCAAGCTCAAGATTAACCCCAAGGGAATATTCCCCCAGGGTAGTAGGGCCATCGGGCCACAATGGCCGTGCCGTGCACTGCACTGGAATAGTATAAGATGAAAGCGCACACCTTGAACAGCAATATAGCTCACCCCGAAGCCTGAGGGACTCTGTATGATGTGATGCCTCAGCAGTCCACCACTGAAGCGGGTGGTAGCCCCTGTGGAGGCCCCCCCCCAGGAGCGGCACAACGCACCGGCTCCCAGGAGCGGCACTTCCCTCAGGACAACAGCAAGCCGCGGCTGAAACCTTGGACGAGGCAGGGGCGGATAAGGGACCAGGGGGCAGTAGTGGTTCAGTACTCGTCAGGCCCCTCCTCGCGCCTGCACACGTACGCCCGGCTACTTGCGTGCAAGTGGATTTCTACGGCACAGGGAACTTCTCAGAGCTGCAAAGAGCGCGTGTATGGGCAAAGCGCTTGCAAGGCTGGCGCCCGACGTGACGAAACAGCAGGTTCACAGCGAGGCTCTCTACATGGATCTTAGGTGGTAAACTTTTATGGATCGTAGATTCGGTTTTCTGGGTGCCTATCTATGTATACAGAGATCGCTACCTGCCATCGTGATCGTCTCTGAACGTGACACTTTGCCAAGTTTTGGCTGCTGCTTACGGAGTTTGAGCGGAAAGTGCGAAGGGCTACAGTCCCTCGTTCCGTAGGACGGCATCCAAGTGACCGAACCGAGTGTGGCAACACCGAGTCAACACCCCACTGACACACGACAACAGAATGGCAGATGCACCCCACTGCATGGGAGACCCATAAACGAACAGCAAACAGACAACGCCGATGTTCAGTTAATAACCTGCCATAACTCAGGTATAGCCTCATTATACTGAGTGTTTGTGAGATGACACGGTAGAGATTCGAACAGATCATCGGTTTGGCCACCCTGGTTAGATCTGTCGTACTCAGCTGACGTCATCCTCCAGCGTAGCGAGGGACTCCACGCACTCTCCGTGTATGGCCCCATCGGCAAAACAGGTAGCCTTGCCGGTCGGGAGGCCTAGACCCTGTCAGACCTAGCCGCAGCCTGCCTGAGGTTAACGCACACAACATCTCTTGTGTTGTGGTGATGTCGGTGCACAGCCCGGCTTTGCAGAAAGAGAGGAGTCTACGGAAGCGCTAAGTCACAGGGCTGTGCCTGTCACAGCAAAATAAAATATCGATTTTTGATTCATTTGTGAACGAGGAATTCGGGAGAGAGGGGCTTGGGAATGAGGGCCAAGTTGTCTGCCCGGTACTGCTGTGTTCGTTGCGTCACAGGGGTAGGTCTTAAGCTGGGATGGGGAGGAAAGGGAAGGCTGGGACTTCGGCGCAGTGCGGAGGTAAGGGACGGCGGGGAAGGTGGATGGACATGGGTTATGGGCATGAGCGAGGGATGTGTGTGTGATGACGTTCACAGCCTCTAGCAAGAGAGAAGGAGAAAAAGATAGAAGGGGGGGGCACTTCGACTGGGACTTCGAAGAAGGGATTTCGGGGTCCTTGGGAGGAAGGGAAGTGACAGCGGGGCTTATTAGGTGCGACACGGCGTCAATGCTCCATATGACGCGTAAACGTTGGTTCTACGTCTGGATAACGGCGCGCATAAGCGAATCGTAGTACGGCATGCGGCCAGACACTTGGCCTGTGCTGTAGCTCGCAAGACATACGTGTGAAGTGACTGACCGTATTTAGAGATACCCAAATCTACATTACGCATGGACCCAATTCCTAGAAAGTTTTCAAGAAAACTGTTGAAGAATCGTTGCGACATAATGTATTGAGCATCGGAGGTCTCCGGATCTAAGTAACTGAGCAGCACAAATCAACGTAAGTGTTTGCCAATGGTAATGCCGGCTGTAAGGATAGCAATTTTTAAATTGTACGTGAAACGGTTAGTGCTACACACACAACATACAATTTGTTGAAAATACTGAATTTTAAAAGCACCTATTTAAGTATGAATTATGGGAATAGCGATTCTCGGGACAGGTAAGCTATAGATTATCGTCGATGTGCGATGTTGCAGGGATGACAGCCAAGCAGGCCATCCGGGGTGAAATCAACATCATTTTGCTATGATTATGCAAAATGTAGATGCTCCGCATCATCAGGCAAACAACTTCGTTTCCTGGCACGGTGACCCTAAACAAGAGATCTCACCACGCTACGCCAAAAGTGATGACCAACTGGAAAACAGATTGAAAATTAGTCAAAGATGCATTGGCGCAAGCACGTTGGGTTGATGGCTCCAGGCCAGTGCGCATGATAGTACGTAAGGCACTCCGACTGTACGTCAAGACGCAGCATAAAGTTTTTATGCGAAACGCCAACTAGATCTACTATATGCATTATCCTGTTATCCCACCTGTGATACATTATCCTGATTCCTAAGGTAAGGTCATATGTTCTGTTTTTTGTTGCGACGACCTTCTTGCCCAACCAAACGTGCGCCCGCCCTGGACGTCAGGATGCTTTAGGCTGCATCCGCCTACCGTGAAATTGCTATGCGTCTGCCGCGAGGGTGTTGCGCTTTCCTTGGGGTCACTTGCCTAGGCACACACAAGGCCGATGTGGCGATGATTGCCTTCTGCTGCTAGCTTTTGGTTAGGATCAACCTTACGGATTCTCTCGCTGCATGCGATGCGATGCCTTTCGCCGACTGCGTGCCAACAGCTGGGCTTTTCTGCCTCGAGAAATTCGTCCCAAACACCCAAGCTCGCCGATTCGGTTGTGCTTTCTGTTTGCAGATATTGATCTGTATTGATTTCGCGGCTGCCACGCCGTCCGAGTGGCAAACTGGAAACCGGCTTGAGGCGTCCTTTCTTGCGGCCGCAGCCGCAGCCGTAAGAAGCTCGACCTCAACTGGAGGTTTCAATGATGGAGCTCTTTGATGAGGACGACGAGGAGTTTTTTAGACGGTCACGGCAGATATGCGAAGGGAAGCGTTTCGCCGACGACGTCCGACACGGCCTGTCTAGCTCTGGACCAACGTCGAGGCAGTTTACGTTTCCACAAGGTTATTTTAATCAGAATGGGGATGTCTTAGAAGCCATCGGAGCTTGGCCGATTTCAGCGCCGTCGTCTCTTGACCAGGGCATGCTCGCAATTGATGCGCGGCATAACGAGGATTGCGCTTTGCGGCCTTCTAGTCCTAAGATGGCTTCATCTCATCTCGCCTGCTTGAACCTGGGATCGTCATTGCCTGCCAACCCGGGTCCTGAACTGAGCGCACTGCCCGGCGCATGGCTGCCGCAATCGCAGCCACAGTCGGCGGCGCAGATGTCGCAGCTCCCGGCCAGCTGGGCCGCAGCGCCAGCATCAGCGCCCTCGGCCGCCTACATTCCAGCACCAGCGCCATCGGCTGTGTACGTGCCTGCGCCAGCACCAGCGCCCTCAGCCGCCTACATGCCTGCGCCAGCACCAGCGCCCTCAGCCGCCTACATGCCTGCACCAGCGCCAGCGCCCTCGGCCGCCTACATGCCTGCGCCTGGGCCTGGGCCAGCTCAGGTGCCCAATCCTTCACCGCCCGCGTCTATGCATGCGTCTACATCCACCGTCTATGCACCGCCCGTACCGCAGCTCACGGCGCCAGCAAGGGGGGGAAGGTGGGCCTTGGGCTACCCGCATAAGCCATCCTTCGGACCCCATGGCGGCCAGCAGCAGCAGATGGTGGTGGCCGCGGGAGGCGCTCCTCCTCCTCCTCCTCTGGGAGCTACCCCGGCCTTGGTGGGAGCTGATCTGCCCGCGTCGCGCTCCGTTGTGATTGGTACCGTTTTCCAGGAAACCTATGAACAATGCCAACGGCAGCCGCAGCAGCTGTTGCTGCATCACCAGCATCAGGGCCTGCAGGCGCAGCTGCCCCAGCAGTGCACAGTTGCCCAACCCCACCAACAACAGCATCACCAGCAGCCGCGAATACAGCAGCCAATGCAGCCAATGCAGCAAATGCAACAGCCAGTGCAGCTGCGAATGCAGCAGCAAATGCAGTCAATGCAGGAGCAGCAGCAAATGCAGCAGCAGCAGCAGCAGCAGCAGCTGGAACAGCGGAAGCTGGAGCTACAACGGCATAGCCAACTACAACAGCATTGGCAACAACAGCAGCAGCAAACTCAGTTGCAGCCGGCACATAGTACTACCTGGTACTTGGAGGCCAAGCCCCAGCTGCTGCAGCCGCTGGTGTGCGCGCATCCAAGGGGCGATCTACCGAGTCGATACCCTCGGCTACAGCCCTTGGAGGCCCAGCCAGCGCAGGTAGGACAGCTCCCGTCACAGCCCAAGCTGCAGCTACAGCCCGACCCGCTGCCCCTGCTGCCCCTGCCGCCGCCGCCGCCGCCGCCGTTGCCGCCGCAACTTCTTTCCTCGAGTCACTACGACGATGTGCAAGAGGAGGACTACTTGATGGCGGAGATTTTGGCGGCACCCTGGCCGTCGTCTAAAACCGTGCAGGACGCTACTGCCGCCGCGCATGCAGCCGCAGCGGCGCTGGCAAGGACCAAACTGGTGACCCACAACGAGCGTGCCAACCCGCAACCCAAGCCGAGCGGCGCACCCCAGCAGGTGTCCATGGAAGCCGCGGCAGCCAGTGCGTTCGCCGCACCTGAATGCGGGCCCAACACGCCCTCACAGTCACCGCCGCCGCTGCCTGAGAGCTGGCAGGGGAGCCGGCGGGTGCAGGCGGCACCTGACGACGCGCCTCTGAAGAAGCTCAATGAGGCGGTGGTGGAGGCGGCGCCAGCTCCTGCTCGGCCCAGATGGATATCGGTTCACGACCAGGGCGCTGTTCCTTGGAAGATCAAGGCCGAGCTTGGCGGCGCTGAAGTGAAGGCCGAAATGAGGCCCTTGGGCCAGTCAGCCATGGCGCTCGGCAGCGACCACCCAAGGGCTAACCTAACATTGAAACAGCAAACCACGTTGCTGTACGAGCACCAACTGCAGCTGGTCGTGCCGCAGGGCGATCTGCGCCTCGGGCAGCTGGATATGGCGGCCTCGAGGAAGCTGGCTGCTGGTGCGGCGGCGGCGGCGGCAGCGGCGGCGGCCAGCGCAGGGCCCGTCGCCACAGATGGTGCGGATCGCGGCGGAACCCTGCTGTTGCACGTCCCACTTGCCGGTGGCCGAACCTCCAGCACTGTCGTGGTGGACGATATGCACGACGATTCTATGCAGGATGACTTGCCGCCGCCACCATCACTGCCCCTAGACGTCTTCATGGCCGACGACCTGGCGGAATGCGATGGGGAGGACAGCGACTGCGACTCCGACGTCACCATGACGGCCGCTGGTGGCCCGACCACCGCCACCACCAGCACTGCTGCGGCTGCGCCCGCTGCCGCTACCGCCGCCGCCGCCACCGCCGTCGCCGCCGCCACCACGGCGGACCCAAGCCCCATCGGCGGCTCCAAAGCCGCCGAGGTTCAAGTCACGATGGAGCTCCTACGGAGCATGTTTCACCTTCCCGTGGCGGATGTTTCACGTACATTGGGTGTCAGCAGCACGGATTTGAAGCGGCGCTGTCGCGCTCTGGGCATTGGGCGCTGGCCGCAGCGCAAGCTGACCAGCCTGGACAAGCTCGGAGGTGCGGTGGCAAGCGACCCGCACATCAGCGAGGACGAGCGCCAGGTGGGGTCCGGCCCCGGGGCACCGCCGTTGGCTGTGTGTGGGCTAGGAGGGCATGATGGTGGTGCTGGTGGTGGGCGATGGTGGGGGTGGGGGTAGTGGTGGGTGATGCACACGGTGAACCGTGGGAAGCCATACTGTTTGGAGGTTGCCTCCATGCGCTCGGCAGGGGCGGCGGGATTGGGAGCGCACACAGAAGTGGCAGACACACATACATACATATTCACTCCACCATCTCGTCACTCACTTGCAGCCGTACACTACGGTCTCGTACGGCCTCGAGCAATTCGTTCATTCAAGTGGCATACATACATACATACATACATACATACATACATACATACATACATACATACATACATGCATGCATGCATGCATGCATGCATGCATGCATGTGCCGTGTGCTCCCGACCCTTGCGCTGTGTTCCGGCTCCCGCGGCCCACAGTGTAATCTAAGCCATACATATACATATACATATACATATACATATACATATACATATACATATACATATACATATACATATACATATACATATACATATACATATACATATACATATACATATACATATACATATACATATACATATACATATACATATACATATACATATACATACATGTGCCTACACGCAGAAGACGTTGGCGCTTGTCGCCCGAAACCGCGATGACATCATCCGCGACCCGGACACCGCTCTGGACCCCTGGGTGGCGCCCAAGAGGCAGATGCACTACAAACGGAAATTCGTCGACCGGCGCGGTGGAGGTCGACGGAGCTACGGCAAGAAGAAAGGCGGCTGAGATGCCTACTATGTGGGGGGTATGTGTGCGGGGGTAATTGCGGGGGTATGTGTGTGTGTGGATATGGAGGGCCTGGGCGGGGCGGGGCGGGGTGGTCTCTCCCCCTCGATGCGGCGGAAACGACGATGGAAGGGGGGAGGATGTGTAGCCACCACCGGGTGGTGCGGGTTCTACCGTAAAAGATTGTGTACCACGCCTTCAGCTTTGCATCTTGAACGCGTAGAGGTCTTGATATAGGGAGAGTTCGATCTTGTTCGTGTTCTTCTGTGTCTTCCGTGTCTCCTCTCTCTCGTCGATGTCCGTTCTTCTCTTTCGTCTGTTTCTTCTTTTCCTCGCAGCTGCCAATGTTGGGTATTAAAATGCGGTGTAGTTCCTGTCGTGATGCGCGGACAGACATACTTACAGATGGTTGAGCTTGTAGTGTGCATCGCCTCCTCAGCGCTACCTCGCTGGATTACCGATCTGGTTGATCATGTGCGTGTGAGTGGTGTACTGTGTCGTCGTGTGTTGTACTCGCACTTGCGTATAAGGAGAGGGGGGTGTAATGGGGTGGTTGGGGGTATGGTGTGGGAAAAGGAAGAAGAACTGATAATAATAACAATATAATGTCTTCCACTCACACCGCAAAAGAAGGTAAACATGTCTTACTTGATGTTTGTTTGTGTACGTAGCCTTCTGATGCTGCTGCTGCTGCGAATGCGGTGGTGGTGGTGGTGGTATCGCCATTGACGGTGTGCCGTACACAAAGCACAAAAAAGTCGAATGGACGTTGTACAATGCATCATCCACTCTATATACGAGATCTGTACGACAGCGAAGGCGGCTTTGCATGTGTCCTGTTGAGGCCGCCTGCTGTCATTTCCTTCGTTCTGCATTTACTCTGAAACATTTCCCCCCCCTCAGCTAATAGCTTTTGTGTTTTGGTTTCGGAGGATTTGGGGAGAGTATGTCCGTAACACGACGGCTGCGGGTGAGGGTTCCCCCACCTTGGGTGCTAAGGGAGGCCTATAGATGTGTCCGGGGGCTGCAGAGGGCCCTTGAGGTCAGCCGGGCAGATCATCTGGAGGGGGGGATGGGGGCGGCAACTTCATGTGCGGCTCTGTCTTTGTGCCCCCTGTCCTCCAACTACGCTGTCTCAGCCCACTGTCCTTCAGTCCCACTGCTAAGGCCCTAAGCCTTCCCAGCGGGAGCGGTCCTTGCCTCGTGACCCGTTGCAGTGTTGTGTTGGGGGGCCCCTCTCAGGACAGTGCAATGCCATGGTTGCACGAAGTACGACCTGGGTTGAGGTGGAGGTTGGTCTGCGGCAGTCTGTTTCTGTGATCAACTCTCCAGGGCTGTGTTCCCACACTACTACTTAGGTGTGGGTGTGTTGAATTTGTGTGTGGGTGTGTAGGGGGTGGGGGCGGGGCGGGGCGGGGGGCGGGGCGGGGCGGGGGGATGCAACCAACAAAAAATGCCCTAGCCGTCCCCTGCCCCCTTCATACACACATGCCTTCAGGCGGCGCTGTGTACCGCTGACATGGGCCGATAAGTTGGTACCCAAGACAAACATACACACAAAGCACATGCATACCCACATGTGAATGCATGTGCAAAGCAAATGCATGCATAGGCACACGCATACGCACATGCAAAAAAGCATACGCAAAGGCAAATGCAGCATGTGCGCATTGGAAGTCATGGCATGTACACATGTACGGCGCATCCTACACGGCCACTGGCTGCATGTGACTTGTTTTGGGTTGATGTGAGAGGGAGATGCGTGTGCGGTAGGTGGTGTGAGGTGTGGTATGGTATGAGGTGTGGTGAGGCGTGTGGTGAGGTGTGGTATGGTATGAGGTGTGGTGTGGTGTGGTGTGAGTTCCCGGTTGGTGACAAAGGCGACGTGTCCTTTGTGTATGTGCGTAGTGCGTAGTGTTAAGTTCGTACACACAGACACAAGCGTGATGTGTTCGTGCACGCCTTGATATCTGTGCAGATGTGTTCATGTGGTACGATTGTCGTCTTTTGTGTTATGGTGCAAATGGTTAGATTAAATTGAACTGCTGAAGCATGCCTCATAAGATTGCGGTTTATAATGGGTTAGCTGGTTAGTTCGACGTTCGTTTGCCTTGGTCGGTCGGTCGGTCGATCGATCGGTCGGTCGGTCGGTCGGTCGGTCGGTCCTTGCGGAAGCGAAGGGGAAAGCTTGCGAGCCGACTTCAGGTTTCACATAAAAAACATGTCTTGATGATGTTCCCAACTCAAAAGTTTTTTGTTTGAGGTTTGAAAAAGAGGGCTGTCGCAGTGTTTGTCTGATTGCTCAATAGGTTAAAGCCAACGTCCTGTTTTAGACCCCAAGACCCATGCTATTCGAGTTACTAATGTTAAATTGTTTCGTTGTTATGTATGTCCGCTTCATATGTACACATACGCATGAGTGTGTTACGTGTGCGTACTTTTGAGGACGGGTGCTTGGGTCCAGGCATGTACGCATACAAGGCCCATTTGGAATACGGAGTGTACCTGTGCCGTACACATACTTCTGGTACCATGTGGTGTCAATGAAAGGGGTCGGGCATGACAGATTTTTGGAATCTCCATACACAGCAATGTCGCATCTTGTGCCATGTTCCTGGGTCGTGCAAATATACCCCGTGTGTGTCTGTATGGCGCTGTGTTCCAGTTTCCTAAGTTGACCCCGGGGCCGCGTTGTGCGGTGACCAAAGAGGCTTTGATATCTGTGTGAGTGTGTGTATGTATGTGTATGTGCGTGTGTGTGTGTCTCACAACTATTTCTGTTGCCAACTGTGCGAGCCCCTAGCGCGTCTTCCCGCTAAACAAATCGTTACAACGCAATACACCTGCCGACACGGCACCTGGGGGGTTTCAGAGCGAAAAGGCGCTCCTGCGAGGGCCCTTTAGCGTTGTGAGGTTTGGTGTTTGCTTCGGTTTGGGGAGGCCGGAATATCATCATCTGCGGATAGGGGCTGCGGTGTGCGAGGTGCGGAGATGAGGGCGATAGCGAAGGATACAGGAAAGCATCCTTCGCAGGAAAGCAAAAATGGTGTTGGGCCTCTTCCACTTTTTGGGACAGGCTGCGGTGTGATGTGCCAACAGCGTCGAGGGCATTACGCAATCGCCAAATGGTTTTATCTGGGGCGCGGTGGAGGAGCATCGATCGGTTTGAGTCGCGGATTGCTACGAAAGTAGCAGGGTCAAGGCATTACGCAATCGCCAAATGGTTTTATCTGGGGCGCGGTGGAGGAGCATCGATCGGTTTGAGTCGCGGATTGCTACGAAAGTAGCAGGGTCAAGGCATTACGCAATCGCCAAATGGTTTTATCTGGGGCGCGGTGGAGGAGCATCGATCGGTTTGAGTCGCGGATTGCTACGAAAGTAGCAGGGTCAAGGCATTACGCAATCGCCAAATGGTTTTATCGGGTTTGTCGAGTCTCACGCGGGCGGTGGTGCGGAGGGGATGTGATGGAGCTCTTATCCTTCGAAGCGGTCCCATTGAGGAGCAGCAGTAGCAGCGGCAGTAGCGCTACTATCCCAGCGATGTTGGGGGAGTCAGTGAACGAGGGGAACTCTGAGGCGTTGTTTTTCGAGCTTGCTACGGCTGACAAGCGGCGGATGCTTTCCAATAGGCCGGTAAGACGTCGGTAGTTTCTTTTTACAGCTGCTAGTTATTTGTTGCCGTAGTTGAGTGGTTCTTGTGGATTGCCGCGGGTATTTGAGTTGCGGCAGGTAGTTGGCACGAGTAGCATGCGGTGCAGCAATAGCCACACATATAGCTCTTGCGGAAGTACTACCCCCTCCCTGCTCACTGCTGTTGTCAATCTCCCTCCTCCATTCCTCCTCCTCTCGCACACACGTATGCGTGCTTGGGGTCTGTGGTCTTTTGTTTAATCATTTGCAAAGGGCATATCGATGTTCCGGACGTATTCCTAAGAGCGCTTCTGATGGCGGCCAGTTGCGACCTGTAATTCGGAGCGCTGGCTATCTCTTGAGGCTGCCGTCATCGCCATGACGCGTGATATCATATTGTGGTAGTTTAGAATAGGTTAGAAAGGATGTATTTCCGGAATTGATGGAAAAAAAGAAGCAGAATGATGTGGTAGCTTTGGCAGGTACGTAATTATTATCTTTTCCGATTTTACATATCGCATTTCAGGGAGGTGCTATATCATGTATTGTATCGATCACGTTTTGGTTTGGGTTTGTTTGTTATATATCAGTTGGAAGTTTTTTTTTGCTGCTTGATATCAACACGGCGGCGACGCAGCGCGTTTGGTGACCACACATATGGCTCAGGCAAGCATACAAAAGGATGATGAGGGCTGCGGGAGCTAGGGCGGAATTGGCGCTGAGGGATGTGAGGAGCATTAAGAACAGAGCTGGTGCTGCGCGCTTGCAACTCTTTGGGCGAAGGGGCCGTTCACTACGCACGTGCCCACGGCCGTCCGTGCCCATTATGGGAGATTGGCGGTCAGGCGGGGCTTGGCGGCCTTCCTTTCCCTCCATGCCTTGTTTTCCTCATCTCCCCCCCCTCCAGCAATCCCACCTCCTCCTCTCCCCTTCACTCTTTCCAAGCCATATACGCGATGAGTCTGGAATGTGTGATACGAGGATCGTCAGAATGGTTATTAATGCTATTATTATTACTATCAGTAGCGGTATTAGTAGTATTGGTATTGGCAGCAGTGGTAGTGGTAGTAGTGGTAGTGGTAAGGATTCGGCAGGATGTCGCTACGCCTCGCACCGGGATGGGCCGTTAGTTACCTGATGCGTTGAATCAACCCGATGTGAACCACCCACATGTTTCACGGGCGCCACAACACCCCTCGAGGGTAAGCCCACCTGCCCTCATCCTCTCTGTAAGGTATGGAGAGTCTGAGCGGTGGTCGCCAGGTGGCCGCGTGTCTGTGTGTATGTCGGTCCATGTCTGTGTGTATGTCTGTATGTACGCATCTGGGCGTGGGTACGTGATGTCAAGTCTTCCGTTCTCCTCTTCAAGAAATGGAAATGTGCCCCCACCTGCCGGGATCTGGACGCTGCTGGTTGCTGTTATTAGCATTGCGGCCTTACCAATTGGGGCGGCATATGGAGGAGGAAGCTGAAAAAAGCAAAACGCGGGATGAGAGCTTCTCTGGTTCCTTTCATACCTCGCTGGCGTCGTGGAAGCAGAGGGCGGAAATTTTCATCCTTATTATTATGCATCCTCACGTGACCTCTTCCGCCTCCTGTTGCTGTTGCTGCTGCTGCTGCTGCTGCCCCTTGTATAGCTCAGCTCAGACAAAAGCAGTGCTCACGCAACCCAGGAGCGGTATGTTTTTTTGGAATCTGGTTCTGCCGGGAGGGCTCTATGTGTTCTTCGTTCCGAGCAACATATATATACAGAGCATGTTATGTCTTTTCCATCTATTTGGCTGTGCGGATTTTCGAGCTGCGAGGAACTTTTTGGCCAGAGGTGCGTCCGGATTCGCAGTGCGCCAGTTCGCAGTTGAAGCAGAAAGTGCTCACGTTTTTATTAGCCGAAAGGCTGGTATTGCTGATTCTCGTCTTCCTTGCTTGCAGCATGTTTGTTTTTGCACGTGCCAGGGTCATGTGGCCGAGTGGGCCGAGGCTGAGTGCACTCCAGTACCGACACCAATATCGTTATCGTTCACTTCTGAAGATGGGTACGCGGCGTTGGGTGCCTGGTCGGTTGGATCTCTGTTCATTCCGCCTCATGCGGGTGCAGCATCGCCGCGTTTTCCAATGTCGGCGCTGATGACAACGCTCAAGCCCTCGCGCATTCTGCCTGATCATAATATATTGTCGTAATTTTCATCGTCGTGTATTTTACTTGCTTTCGCCTACTTTGCGTTGTTCACTGGCTTGCATGGTAGGGACTCTCTACTGTTCAGATACGTTTTCTTTTCATCGCTAGAACATTTTGTCTTCCTATTGTAAAGTAATACCGATATCGCCTCTTGTGCCCCTCCTTGTGAAGGCCGCGGGCTTACGGCCGTGGGTATAGCGCGCACAGGCAGCAGAGGGCTCGTGGCAAAGACGTAGTATAGTAAGCCAAAAACCAAAACGAAACAATTGGATGAGTGCGACTGTTGTAGTGAACATCCTGAAAACTATGCTGGTTATGGAAGACATGCATCATGTCTGATATCTTGTACTGAACAGTCTAGAACCCAGATGTTTCTAGACGTGTACGACATTTGTACGGTTAAACCTTGCCGATGCTCGCTGATGCCGATATCATCGTGACCATCCAGTAGACGGGAGGAAGGAGATCTTCCGCTGCCTTTAAAGAGGAGTCACGCTCCTTTCAAGGTGCCAAATACGTTGTAGCGTCAGTGTATCGGTAAAGGTGCAAGAAAGGAAGCACCTTACGCCACTATGTGGAAGCGCCTCGATTTCCTCCTAAACGCCACCTTGCTGTGTCCCACCCTGCTGATTACCTCGAAGAAACCTCGATACCTGGAGGCCGCCCGACGGGGAGTGATGGCAACGAGAGGTGCTGGCCCTGCTGTGGGCTCTGCAGCAGGCTCATCCACAAGTACCCCTACCACTCCTGCTGCTTGCCAAGCAAGACATTCGATGGCCCAACCGACAAACCCCAGCCGAACAAGCCGTGTGACGGCGGCAGGCGACGGTCGTTTTCTGACGCACGGGGAATTATATGACATAAAGACCAAGGGGTTGTGCCGATTCTGTAGGCAGCATGGCCATAAGGGTGACAATTGCGAACTCTTCGATATGCAGGGCCAACCTAAGGCAAAGAATGGCTCAGCAAACCCAGTTCGTGGACCACTTAACGACTGGGCA